ATTAGGGTAGCAAATGGAATATGACTTCTTTGTAATTTCTTTTCATATTTCATTCAGTATTATATGTAGTAGTAATGTTATATAATGATACACTTTTGTTATGCGATGACATTTTTTCTGAAACAATACAAATTATTCAGACAATGCCAAACGCCAACAGCATTGGAGGACAGGTCATGGTACGCCTCTGTACACAGCATTTGTATGTCTTGCAAGAGCTACAGTGGGGGTTACATTGAAAATGAGTTTGTGCGCGTGGGGGTGGGCTCGCCATCACGTTTGGTGCTTGCTATATCTTTTATACATGTCTTAGACGTTGCTTTTTTACATGCTCACTCATACAAACTCATAATCTAACGAATTGATAAACCTGTGTTACTCTTTCGTTATATTTCACGTTTTCATATTTATATCTTACTGACCTAAGTTTTCATATGTTCAATTCATAAACTTCAATGAATCTATCTATCTATCTATGAATAATTGTTCCAATTTCCAAAAGAAGGGCCTTTATCCAATCTTCTCTTGCCAAATTCGTATCCTACAAACCAATTCTATTGTTCCAGGTCCTCCTGGAGTACGGATAGAAGATGCTTATGTTCAGCTATTACCCGTGGATAAACAAAAGTGTCATGAAATTGATCCAATTAGAGATATATCATTCCAATTGTTTACTAGGTAAGTAGAAAACTCATTCAATGCCTAAAATACTCCAGGTGGATGAAATTGTTTTTACAAATGAGGGGTTTGAGGATTCACAATCTATGTCAACTGAAAAGCTGATTCCAACTAACAATGAGATATTTCCAAATGATTAATTTCTTGGCAAAATATTTTTCTGCGTGTCTTCAAAAGTGCCCTTGATGAAATGTGTGTACCTTACACAACTCCAATGACAAACTGATAGTCTATAGAGTTTTAACTGTTTTGCTCATTTAATTATACAAGGACGAGTCGTTATTTTCCAAAACATGGGCAACTTCAAGAAAGAATTGTCATATACGAACTATTAATTTTTTAGATATTCCGTTATTTACCACTTCAGCTTCTCTATGAAAGTTTGATTTGAAATAATCCACAATACCCATAAAAATGATCATTTTGTTTTCATATAAATTCTCTTCTACAACTTTGAATAAAAACCCACTCTATTACAATTGCTGTCAAATATATGATCACATGGAGAAATCAAAAAATCCTAGGCAAAACTTTTTCCATTTCATTATGTTAAACTCCCTCAATCTATGTTTTATTTTTGTTATTATGATTTTCATGCAGATATTTTTCCACTACAATATTATATTTTTCTTATTGGGGATCATTTAATTTGATATCATTGTATATTCCACATACGTTTTGAGATATGTAACCATAATTGATTTCATGCACAATGAAGGATTTTGTCATCGTCATCCTTTCCTTTCAGGAATAAATTTCATTTTTTTCAATTATTCATGTATTGATATTTCAAACGGCCTCTTTCGTAATAATTTGAAAAAACGTCGTTTACTGCTTCATTAGTTACAAAGTAGTTCCATAATAATTCATATTCAATAGTTTTTTTCATTGTTATAGTTCAATAACGATAAGTTTACATATAGTTATGCAGTGAAGATTATTAAGCAATTCTTGGCAGTATGTTTAATAATGAGATTTTTTAGAGTAGAAGTGAATAAAAATAAAAAAGGGATCAATAAATTCTAATGAATTTTTCGCAGTGAAAATCAATCCCTCGAAAGTCAAAGGTCTGAAAAACAGTTCTTCTCAATATATTCTGAACTGTATTCTGATTACTAATTTCACTAATTATTCTAATATTCATATTTTCACTCAACGAATATATTCTAAACTATCAATAAACTACTATAAAATGAATCATTAACTTTTTCCTTCAATGAAAACGTCAGTTTTTCATCGTTTGGAAGCATAATCTCAATAAGAAAACGAGTTCAGCTGACGGAACATCAAACTCTTACGAAGGTTCGAAATAGATGAGCACTTCAATCTAGCAGACCACTATTATAATATTCATGCAGTCATTGTTCATTGTGAGAAAGAGAGGTCATTGGCAGATCAAGATCTTCAGATGATGTAATGCTGCAGGTTTCTCCGGGTCTTCCGGCAGCTGAAAAGCAAATGCGCCACTGGAATCAATGAAGTCGTCCCGGAGATCCAATTAATTTTTGTTAATTCATAATTTCATATTTTGTATTACTTTCTTTTTTAATGAATATTATCTTGATAAAATGTGTTATTCGATTCAAGGTCTATTCACAATGTTAGTCACATCTTAGTTTCGTTGGTGTCAGATGGTAATTGTGATGCACTGTTTGAAACACTTTGTGTAGTAATGAATATTACTGGAGTTTAGTCCCAACACCAAACACTTATTTCAACACCCCGACACGTGTTTCGCTCACCAAGTGATCATCTTCAATAGGAAGATTAAACTGTTTAATCTTTTTTTGTACGTTGTTTATCGTCAGTCAGAATTGATGAACGTTCCTCGTATGTCAGTGGAAAGAGGTATACATAATTATGCAAATTGGATTTCATTCCAGAAGGTTTACTATTGAAATCATAATAATCATTATTTAATGATATAATTTAATGCAATAACAATGTAATGTACTCAATTAATTATCAGCAATCTATTCGAATAAACAGAATGTAATCGATATAATGATCATAAGAAAAATAAGCATGCTGTGGAAACTAGAGGTCAATAATCTCGTGTACCTTACGTGTAATGATATTTGGAAAGTAATATAAGATGAAATCCATATTTTGAAGATATCAACAATCTATATTTTTACGTTGAAGATTATGGAATACACAGAATTCGTCCAAGAAAACTTGGACAAGGAATAAATCATTCATATATACTCATGGAAAATAAAATTTGGTTCCAAGAACTCAACATGTAGTCAATTTCGTTTGCATCGAGAAATAAGTGTTGAGTATATAGACATTCATCAATTATCTACGATACCCGTAAAAAAACAACCATATAGTTCTACGGACGCATAAGTCGATTCACTACAGTTCCGGAGTTAATTCGTAACATAAATGTGATTCACTTATTCAAAAAGTCCTTGAAACGTTTCATTTTTGTCCAAAAAAGGCAAAAAATTGCTCATTTCATTGAAAAGAATTGAATAGAATTGAAGTGGTTATATTTTTAGGAGTGACTAATTTTTGGGAAAGAAAGTTTTTGCCTTTCTACTACTCCATCTTGATACAAAAAACAAGTATGAGGGAATCTTCCAAGGAAAGGAAGGAAGTAATTAATTTTAAAATAAGTAACTCTATACACGGATGTGTAGATCATGCAAAGAAGTAACTTTCAGACATAAACTGAAAGAAAGTCCTGCTGAAACAGCTACTCATATAAGCATTGAATTACACGAAAGAAAAAAAATTCTTTCGAAACAAATACTCCTATATGAACACTGAAAAATACAGAAGATACTTTTCTCTACTCAGTTTGTATTTCAAACATTCGTTGTGGAATAAAAATCAGATATCATTCACATGAGTTCTGCTTTAAATGAATGGTAATAAATTGCACTTACGTGGAACACTGTCCCCCTCACTGGTATACACCGATGTTTCGCCTTAAGACACTTGCCCCAAGGCTCTTCAGTACCAAATTGGATAACATTATAAAATTAATTACTTCCGTCCTTTCCTTGGAAGATTCCCTCATACTTGTTTTTTGTATCAAGATGGAGTAGTAGAAAGCCAAAAACTTTCTTTCCCAAAGATATTTAGAACTTTTGTGACTTAACTGTGGGATGTCCAATTATTATTCCTCTTCAAATTGAAAGAATATCATCACAATGTTTCATGATTTCAGATAATATTTTAGTGTAATGACCAAAGATTTTTGAATTTTTGGCTTTTAATTTGATTTGTTACTCAAAACAAGTGTTTCACTTATTGAGTGTCAACGGTAATTGTTTGCAATTCTGTGTTATGATTATATCTGTAATATTTTGTTATGCAAATAAATATTATCATCATTATAAATATTATTATCTACATTTTCCAATTTTACTTCAATACTCGAGATAGCGTATCAGTAATTCCACTCAACTCAAAATCGATTGGAATGCATATCCTGACAATGTGTTTCCTCCAGGAATCAATGAATAGAAAACTATTAGAGCCTGGACTATTATTCACTGTCTGGAACAAATTCATTCCGACAGTTCGAAAAACATTTTATTGTGAGATTTTCACTCAACAGTTTTACAAAAACGCAACACATGTTTCGCTATACAAAAACGTTTTCAGGCGTGTCTGTACTCCGAAAAATCCTCAGTCAAAAGACTCAGTTACGGGATTTCAACCGTCCTTTGGAATAAACTAGCTTCCTTCAAGTCGACACGACAGCCCCGACTCCACACAGGTTGTGCGGATTTTATTTTATTTTATCTATCATATTTATTTTTTATTTTTATTATTGACTTGTTCTATGTCATCATGTTATGATCGTTATGAACGAATAAATATTATTATTATTATTATTATCATTATCGTAATATTTCAACCAATTTTCACAAAACATTCACGAATTTCACACATCAATCTTCATCTCGAAGATAATCATGAAAATCTTGTGTTTACTACATCATCAAAAATTTGGGCTACTCAGGATGAATTTCAAAAAATTTTGCAAGCCAATTCTTTAAATATATACCGTTAATCATCATTCTACACTTTTTTTTTTAGGTTTTTCCAAAAATGAAACTCAGCCACCAATTGACGACTATATAAACATAACAAGCTGTCAAATATTCTCTGAAAATTAATATTGAATGAGTACTAATATTAATGAATGAATGAAAAGTTTTTTGACGAACGTTATAAGTCAAATGAACCAATCATATGAATTTGAATTTCGAAAGTTTTCCATTCCTTGAAGAACTTTCTATTGATGAAAACACGTTGACCCATAATTAACGGAATGAAATATCCTTGGTTCACAGACACAACCCTTTACAACCATCGCAGTTACAGATAGGTGATGATGAAGCCCTATCAAAATCCTTTTTCAATTTTTCTGAGCCGACTGTAATCTTCTTCCATGCTTTCTTCGAGTCATCTCAGGCCACCCCAGCATCTATAATCAAAACTGGTAAGTGACGTAATGAAATTGTTTTTGTAAAAAAATGAAATTCGAATCATTGTTCATTGAAATATCGAGAGAACTTTTATAAAACTCAAAAGAACTTTTTTGATCACTCTATTAGGGCAGAAATGTTCGTAGGCTAAGACATAGATGGCGCTACTAATTATAAATTCATGATTCAGTTAACCCTAACCTTCAAAAGACACGTGTTCAAATTTGACAGCTGTCGGACTATTAGGTTGTGAGATAGTTGATCAATTTTACGAGATCCCATTCTGCTCTTTAGCACCGACATTTCAGAGTTCCTTTCTGAATGTGATTCTGCGTTTCCTAACTTACTACAACAACAATGTTCATTGGCCAAGTAAAGGTTAAGTTATTGAACATTTCTGGCTAATAAAAGAACAAGTATCCTCCTTCTTGCGAAACTTGGATACGCAGGAAACTAGAAAGCACTTTGAGTGTATAAAAAACGAGCGCGACATGCTGGTTGTGGCTTTTCTGAAAGATATAAATATTTGAATGGGCTCAATACAGAGTTACAAGAAAATGGAAAATCAATGTGATCTGATACAAAGCGTGTCTGCTTTGTAAGCTGGATATGTTTGAAATAGATATCGTTAAACAAGAGTTTATTCATTTTCCGACAATTATCGAATTTAAAAAAGGGGCCTCTGAAGACAGTGCAGAGTTTGTAAAATTTTTGGCCGATCTTAAGAACGAATTTGCTACAAGATTCCAAGATTTTGTAGAGATATTTTCTTAAATCTCCATTTGAAATTGATGCCAATTTGTTTAATCTGTCAAAGCCATCACTCCAAATGAAGATAATTGATTTGCAAAAAGATGTGTCTTTGCAAATGTATAGAACGGTATCCACTGAAAAATTTCGGGCCAAAGATGTCCCGGAAAAATATGAGAATTGTAAAAGACTAGCTATCAATTTGGCCACAATATTTGGCTCGATATACATACGCGAAACATCTTCCTCAATAATAGATTTTTTGAAAAACAAATATCGTTCAAAATTAACAGACGCTCACCTAGAAGACACACTTCAAATTTGCTGTTCCTCTCGAGAACCAAACTATAAAAAACTGGCTCAAGACCGTCGGTGTAGTTTCTCACATTAATAAGAGGTCTTCTATTCCTTTTATAATTGAGAATGCGATTTGAAACCAAAATAATATGTAGCACATTATTATTAATATTTGTTTTTTTTCTGGACCCCGTTGAAATTTTCCCACAGTATGTGGACCCCACCTTAAACTACTTGCCAACCCCTGGTCTAGAGAAAAGTTATCAGTCTCTCATGTGACTTGGCACATGACTTTCCACCAAGAGCGGTACACATCAGAATACGCGACGAAGTGTGGCTGCTCATCGTTTTGAAGATCAACTCAGTACACCTCGAACTTCACTGTTCAAAAACTCTTTCATTTGGAGAACTGCATTCATGTGGTATGAACGTTTTCCACACATTTTTTAATCTCCAGCGATTCGAATCCAATATGAATCACTACTTTTTTGCCCAGGCACTGCTTTTAGAGCGCCTTAAGGCCTTTCCTGTAGTGCTTGTATTTTTTCCCAAAAAAAATTCAAGCGTAGGTATATTTTTTTGAAGCCCCTTGTTCTATAAAAACGTTTCCACGAATAATTTCAATGCATTGAATTGTGAAAATTTTCAACTACATATTAATGGTTGCAATTGCAACATTCAACTTTTCATTCGGTCGTTGTTGAACTGAATAACATGAAAAATATTTTACACGAAGGGAATTAAAATACAATCTGAAATGAAAAATTTGAAACAATGAAAGTTCATTATATTTTATGATACAGTTAATTCGAACGAAACAAGTCATGAATGAGTATTTCATTTCGAATTTTCTAACAGCTTATAACGGGGAATGTTCCTCAATTTGGGTTATTACAGCAAATGCAAGTTTGAACAAAATAAAGTTGAGTTTAATTCATGAGTTTTTCAAATTCACACATATTGGCAACAGCGCCTATATCAAGTTGAAATAATTTATACGTACCTAGATATTCTACTTTAAAAAAGCAAAATTATCTTCATAAATCCACAATTAAGGCGAAATATAAATTATAGTTCAAAACCACCTCAACAAGCCACATAAACAACAGTTGTTTTGTTATTTATTTATATAGAGGACGATAGGTTAGGTGCACAAAGTGTCATATGTCACAGAATGTCTCGGAACTCGGAACATAAGTAAACAGAACAGCACGCCTCTGAAATATGTCAATTTTGTTTGTCTCATACAGGTAACAGATTCATCGTCCTTTATTAGCTATAACCGATGTTGCCAAATGGTAAAATAGGAACGAATCCCTTTAAATGTTGAATGCATTACTTCATTCCTCTTTTTTGAGTATTCAAATAATTTTTTAAAGAAAAAGGTTGAAATGAAAAGTTTAAAATGCGTTGTTTCAGAGCTCTTTCATGAAAACTACAAATGGAAGTTTGATTGGAAATTTTGGAAAACACGTTGATTTCTGTTTCTAGGGGGTTTAAGTTCAATGTGAAATAGCGAATATCAGAGGATAGCTGACATTTTTCAATAGCATGGAGAACGGAATCAATTATTCGAAAGATTCTTTGTTGATCTATTACCATTATATTTACCATTATATTCATTGGTTCATCAAGAAATTCGATGTGAATATTGTATTTGAGAAAAGACTCAACATTTGCTTGCGTTTCTTCGACGACAAACAGAAATAATAGTGTATTAGGTTGAGTTAGGTTAGGTCAAAAGTGAGTTGGTCTCCACCGGAATCCGCAAGGGTTTATCGTGGCTCACACCATTCCACACTCGACCAAATAAAATCAGCCGAAGCTGATTAATTTATACGATGTGTGATCTTTCAGGTCAGATAGTGAAATTTCCAAACACACGCGACACACACTGTCTTCCGACAGTCCGAGTCTTTGCATATGATGATTCAGACGACAGTGGCCTGTGGGAAGGCCACTGTCGTCATCGCCATAGTTCATCCCTTGGAACGGGCCAATCCTGGAATATTCTGCCAGAAGTCCATGAATCTTCTTGCCATCCAAGTGTTGTTCACTTTTTGTTCGGCAAAACCTAAAGCGATGCCAATGACAGGTTCTGATCCTGTCAAGCTGCTTGTAACATCCTCCTTTGCAAGGGAATCAGCAGCCTCATTACCTTCCAGGCCAGTATGGCCAGGAATCCAGACCAGACACAATTTGTTGAGTGTTCCTATTGGGAAGAGTTGTTTTTGGCAATTTGCTACCAGTTTAGATGTTGCTTGGTAGGAACCAAGAGCTTTCAACTCCGCTTGACTATTCGAGAATATTTTCATTGACTCATGTATGAGGTTGGATTCTACCAATCTCTCTGCACACAACTAAACAGCATAGATTTCCGCTCAAAATACAGTCGCATAGGTCAGGTTGATATCTCTGTCTTGAGTCTGCAACCGAAAACCACCTGCACCAGAATCTGGTGCACGTCGGAAGTACCAAATGCGGCATCAACACCAGGATACAAGAACACAAGTGCAGCTACCAGCTCATGCAACCAGAGCGATCCGTAATTGCAGAACAAGTCATATCAGAAACATACCAAGTGATAATATACGTAGAAACTGCTGTTCTTCCTGAATTAAGGCCAATGAGGAAGAATTCCAACAGAAAACAGGAAGTTTTACAGGTCAACGGAACATGTAGCCAGTACTTAAAACATCCAGGAATAGACTAGAATACAACTACGATCATTACACTACCAGCATATCCATCCAGCAACGAGGAACAAATCAGAATAACTCTGTAATAGTGCGGTTAACATATTTTGAAGTGATGAATTCTTGTGATAATTGAAACAGTTATGAAGTTGTGTGAAAGCTATTTTTAGGGTTTTTTGGTTTCAGTCTGCGGGATTTTATGCTCAACGCTTCGTCCACTGCTGCGGTAGTCATTTTCAAAGGCGATGTGGTAACAGTCGCAGTGCCCGAAATGTTGTTGTCCCCGTTGTTGTCAGTTGTAACGTTATAGATTTGCTCATCTGTAATTGGCCTCGAAGATAGTGAGGTTAGAATCTAGTCAGCTGTAAAGGTTCGAAGAGTATAGAATTGTCATAGAAAATTGTCATCAAATATTTTGAATTAACTTTTTATAATATATTCAAGCACAAGCATTCTGTTAGTTCCGTGACTCAATTATCAATTGTCATTTGTACATGTAATTTGTATTGTCTTCTCCTACTCGCATTTTATGATGTAGGTATAAGCTTTGTATCATAATTAATAAGATATCTGAAATAATCAGGTCCAGACCATTCTCGAACTATTTTCGAATGATTCTGAAATCGAACCCCTTCATGAATACAATCCATGAGTAATAAATTTGATACGTTTCATTTTCTAAAGCTACCGACTCATTAAATTATCATTACAATTTTCAGCGTACCTCCAAAGAGGGGACCACAACATTATTTTGCTGAATGCTCCTCGCCTGGAAGCAGGTCCTTGGTATTACACCGCTTCTAGAAATACGATGGTTGTTGGACAGTACGCAGCCAGATTCATCGACTATTTGGTGTCCAGAGGTCTCTATTTACCAAGCCTACATCTAACGGGATTGAGTCTGGGTGCCCAAATGGCTGGAGTGTGCGGACAGAGTATCAAAAGTGGGAGGATACAAAGGATTACAGGTAATCATAACATCAGGCATGTCCTTGAAAATGCCCTATGATTATTGAATCAATTTCTGTAGTTTTTTGTAAGATCTCTAGATAAACTTTATTTGTTTATTGCTCAGAGGAAAATGTATTTTCTTCAATTCTGCATAACCTTGAACATGCTCGGTAGGTATATAGACGTGTCGAAAACCGACCATAGGACGGGAGCGGCAATGGACCTTGCGCAGTGATCTGCTCGATCAGTATACATCAGTTTTCCAGCTTCACAATTTTGCAACTCGCAAAAAACATTCATTCGGAGCCTCAACCAGATGAGCGGATCAATATTTTTGCAGACAGACAGGCTACTCCACTCCATATATTGGCCTTGAACTAGCTGTGGGGATATGGTAGCTGTGGTATGAAACGTGATTGGGAAATGGGTCTGTAAAAAACTCAAAGTGTACTGGAAAAACACACCTGGGAACGAACATGGAAAAACCTTCATGAAGGGAATGTTTCGTAAGAGAAAAAACACTTCAACAAAGCAGGTAATAGCTCAGAACAATCACTGTTAGCTGAGAGAATACCTGAACAAAATAAGGCTATACAACAGAGGCCTTAGTTGCAGGCAATGCAACAAAGGGACAGGGAGTCAGCTTTCCATATTTTATGCAGAAGTGAGGCATTGAATCACCAGAGGCAAACAATTCATGAACAACCAAAATTATGTCTGGAAGAATAGGACATACTTCCAGCAAGAGTCCTGTACATACTGGGAAACAAGCAAAGGAGGTCATGGGAGAGAAACGTTGCAGTGTTTTCCGGAGAAATGAATAAACCTATCTCTTCGTTCAATTCATTTATTGATAATATTGGTCCCATTCTGGTCCCTCCAATGAAGAAGTAGTTGTCAACCCATCAAGGATTCTTCAAGAAACCCAGTTGCTCAGTATCTCATCAATTGTAACTCCTAAGGATATTTCAAGTTGGCCTAAGGCTTTTCCTAATCAACAGCGACCCAATTTTCTATCTCCTTAGGGAATATCATCAATCACGATTTCTACTCTAGGACAATGGGTGTTTACATTTGAAAGTAGAAAGTAGAACTCGCCGTTGGTTAACCAATTTTTTCACATTCATCTATATTCGGTATGATTGTTGATTATCTCTGACCTGGAATTTCCATTGAGTTTTCATATGAGAAAGCAGTTATATTGAAGACCCTTAATGTTGAAAATGATCACGAGTGCTATCTGAAATACGAGGTCCATTAAAAAAATTAGGTGAACTTTAATTTTTCGAAAAAAATATATTGATTATTCATCAGTTTCTATTTTGTCTCCGTCAAAGTAGTGCCCTCAGATATAACACACTTGTGCCAGTGTTTTTTCCAATCATCGAAACAGTTCTGATATGCACTTTTTGGTATGTCCTTGAGCTCTCTCATTTTTCAACTTATTAATCATCTCAAAACGGTGGTCTTTCATGGGTCTTTTCCATCTTGGGAACAGGAAAAGTCGCAGGGGGGCAAATCTGGTGAATACAATGGCTGAGGCATGATTACGGTGTTGTTTTTGGACAAAAAATCACGAACAAATAATGACGAGTGCGCAGGTGCATTATAGTGATGCCTAAGCTATGAATTGTTTTTTCACGATACCGGACGTTTGCTCCGTGTTAATCCTCGCTTCATGTACGACCATGTGACAAATGTCGTTGAGCACTTGATTCCATTTTTAATACAAAAGTTGATGCAAATTATTTGATCCAGTTTTTCGATAGCAGAAAATCGCTGAACATGCAGAACACGTCTAACTTATGCCTCTCACCAACAAGCTAAACATGCCAAACAGCTGAAACTGTGAAAATGTGTTCAAGTCAAGTGTACCTACATAAAATAATTTTTTTAAATCGCTTGAAGAATTAACTTAGCCCGCGAAATTTCAATATTCACCCTATTTGTTGAACCGACCTAGTATATATTCATTTTATTTAGATTTAGTGTTTATGATTATATTCAGTTCGGAAATATATAAATCCTATTCTAATTTGTTTCCACATAATTATTTGATATGAGTTTGAGATGAAAAAGTTATCTTTCTCTCTTCAGACTAAACTCAAAAACCAATTCTCATTTGATCTAATCTTCCAACCAGCGGCGGCTCGTCAGAGGAGGCAAGGGAGGCTTAGCCTCCCCATAAAATTTGAGGCAATTCATCGCAATAAATTAAAAAATATTGACAAATTATTATGATTATTTTTTTTAAATTGCTTGGGTATCATTACTCCACCATTAATTTTCAATATGAATACATGATATGCCCGAAAAAACACTATCACTCACTACGTAGTACGTACCACTCTGTATCCTGCATCAACAAACCTCAAACGCACCGCCCATGAACGAATAATAAATAAACCATCAATCCAAAATAATAAATGCCATACGTTGCAAGGGAGCCAAGCCTACGACCGTTTTAAAAAACACAAGCTCCGCGAGACCGATCCAACCAGCGACATACGTCCCGTTTTGTAATTTTAGTTGCAGAAATAGCGTTAGAGGAGGCTAGCCTCCAGTTGATCTCCGTTAGTGTACGACTGCATTTGTTTTTTATTTAATCATGCCGTGGCGGACCGGGACTGACGAATATTTCGTAAATCATTTTAGTTTTTCTTAATAATATTTGTTATTTGTGTATAAAACAGGCAGTATTGTATTATAGCAGTGCTTTTTGGTGATATTTTCAATTGTTTTTAAAGTGTTTTCTTTCAATTACATCATTAAAACTCTGGGAAGGCCTCAACCAAATTTGATTTCAATCAGTGCGTCAGATAATCGACAAAATCGAGGATTTAATATTAGTTGGTACGATAAATGCGATTGGTTAACCAGCTCCATTAAACGAAAAAACTTTTTGTTGGTCCTGTGTTTTATTTTCCGTACAAACCGAATACCAAACGTGGTCTAAAATAGGATACTTCGATTTGAAAAATTTACCTCGTTCTACAGAAAGACATGCAAATATTACGTATTTTGCTTTAAATAGCTGCGGTACCCCAAAAAATTTTCACGCCTCCGGTGGACTTTTCTGTGTGTATATAGTCTTTATGACTTTAGCCTCCCCTGTTCTCTAATGCACGAGCCATCACTGCTTCCAACTTTTTTGTATAATGAAGGTGTATATTGGGCATGAACTGAATGCAAAGGAAGTATGTTTCACTAACTAAACAAACGAACGAAATTATCTATTAATCTGCATTATTCATAAGAACGCTAATTAACCAATAGGTAGACCTTTGACCGACACGAATAATGTAATAGTTGCCGACTCCGGACAACCAATCTGATTCGAAAGTATGTTCACTTTCTCTGAAAGACCGTGCTGAATTCGTTCTTGAGCCTAGGTAGGATATGGGCAGGAAATACTGCACACAGTTGAAATTTGAATTCACGTCGGTTTTATGATAAATCGATATCATTCTCGATTGATATGAAACATAGACACTTGATCCGAATGAAAAAAGTGTTTGGGTGAATCTTCATCGTGTGATTTTCACTGAACCCTTTACAACACGTGTTTCGCTATACAATTGCTTCCTCAGGCGTATACATACTGACGAACCTCTACCTAATTAGTGCTCAATATAAAGATTTTAGTCATACGTACTCAATTACTGATAACTTCACCTGAGTTGAGAATAAATAAAAGAACTTTCACCAAGCTATCAAATAGACATACAATGAACTAATTACCAATTTCCAGATTCAATAAAGAGGAAGAATTCAATGATATTTGGTCACTCAGTAAATTTTGGGACTGACCTCCCTGTAAATTTAATTCAGGAGCGAGTCTACAGAGGAGATGGATGTCGAGTTAACGACTCCAACTGACCTCCCTATAAATTTAGTTCAGGAGCGAGAGCTTCTTAACTCCCCAACTCCTGATCCAACAACTGAACCATAAAAAAAAGGTTTGGTAGTGCAGTCAGAACGAATGAGTCGTCTCCTGAAGAGCGGGGTACCTTATGAAACCGCCTTGCACCAAATTCTTGAGCGGCGTACGCAGAATCTGTCTCAGGTGGGGGAACAAACCCCCCCATGAGCAGGTTATTTGCTAACCTGCTCATGGAGGGGTTTGCGCTCAAGTGACGTTTCACCAAAACAGAGGCGAAAAAGCCCTGTACGGCTGAATCTAAGGCATCGTCAGGTGTAGCTGACGTGCAAAAACCCTCATATGGGAAGGTTGTCGCGGGTATCAAAGTGAGAATCTTGCCCCTTGACTATCCGACTGCCTCATTAGCAATTAAACAGCAGAGCATATACTTTGTGTCTGCCCCGCTGGGGACTGAATCAGGTTTTCAGAGTTCGGTAGAGCCGTACTCTTACCATCTGACCTGAAAGACCACTCACCATACAAACTAATCGGCTTCGGTAACCTAATACGTTACCCAACCTAATACCTAATATAACCTAATAACCTAATACGGACCTAACCTAACCTAATACGTTATAGTTGTGGTTGAATTCGTGCCCCTCTGCCAAAAGGTCATTTCCAACTATGAAATTGGTCTCCTCATTTAAGAAACTGCCCCTATGTTCTTTCATTCTCTGAAAAAAGATTTTGCCGTTTGCCCAATATACAGTTTTAGGCAAGAATCACATGTCAAGTTACATACTTTCGATCTGTTCGACACTGAAGTTCTATCTATTTTGTTTTTAATGAATTTGCTTAAATCGTCATTAGTTCTATAAGTCACTTCCAAGCCTTTTTTTTCAAAACGAGTGGTGTTGTTGGTGCGTTTACCAAAGTATCTTAATGTCCTGACGTTATTATCGTTTTTATCAAGTAGGATAAGCCTGGTGAACAGCTTGTTTTCGTCTTTTCTTGCAGCCTTTCGCTGCATGAAAAGAACTTTTTATTATATTGAAAATTTTTTGCCAAAAAAATTATCCTATCAAATTTGTCTATTGCGTCGGGATGTTACCAAATAACGTGCTTTCGAAAACTGTGATAAAATTATTTCGTTAGTTATCAATGTCCTTGGGATATTATAGCTGAAAATAAGCTTTATATAAACATATGGTAGGTAGATCTAAAATTTTCTATTTCACTTCAGGGTTAACATGGTTTTTGTCTGAGAGACGCTCAACCAGCTCGATTGTTTCAATTTTCGGAACACTGAGAAGTAAATTTTGTACATCAAACAATATCAATTTGGCATTATCAGAAAGAGTTATGTTTTCAATATTATTCACTTATTGGTATTGTCATGCTGATAGCTACACTGTAAAAATTTTTATTCTCGTGATTTGAAAAAATGAAACACACAGTTGGGGACTTGAAACTTTTCACTTCATTTATTAGAACGTGGTTTATGTCAAAAGTGGCAGATTGTATTTAATGCATTCCAAATTACATTCAAAAATAAATCTATTTGAAAAAGTCTATCAAATCTATCAAAATATATCAAATGAACACATTGATTTCCATGCACATATCCATTCTTGCCTGGACATTCCAGCCAGAATCTGCGTATTATTATCGGTATTTTCGCACATTTGATGCGCTTTTTGGTCTTTTCTTTTTCTTTGGTGTTTAGATTCAACAGGTAATAGAGAAAAGAACAGTTAAAACAGAAAAAACCCCACCTCAGTCTGCCACGGGCTTATAACCATTCAGTGATGAATTTTGGTGAAACGAGTAATAATAATAATAATAACAATAATGCTTGTATGAACCCTCAGGCTCATAAAAGCTGATAAGGCTGATGTAGTCCTTCTCCTCGACCACCAGAGCAAGACGATATTTGTCGTGGAGTTTTCAGCTCCTGGAGAGACGAATATCGTCTGAACAAAGGAGGAAAAACTAATAAAATATCAAGATTTTTCTCTTCGAACTCCGCAGACTCTATCCAGGCCACTCAGTCGTGAAGGTTGTTCTGATTATTGGAGTCCTTGGTGGAATGATGCCCTGTCTATTCTGTCATTATTGGCTGACTGCGATTGCTCAGGGCGAACCCAATGATCACTTACCCCACGTTGGGGGGACGGTCGTTGGTTGATAATGTTGGCGCGCCCTACCGAATGTATCGAGGCTTCGGGGGATAGGGCCTGACCAGCGCATACTACGGAAAAAAAAAAATATAATAATAATCATATATATTTATTGATCAGTACAACATGAACATAAGGAGTATGAATACAGTACAAAAAGAAAGATTCGGCGACAACTGTTCTTTCATTCCCCATATTGGATCAATATATCTACTCGTACATGTTACGAATGGACTTCAATTGACTTGATGAAAATAAACACTTTCCATAATAATAATTCAACAATTCACCCAGACATTTTCATTAATGAAGAAAGTTTTATTGGTTTTTTAATAATTTTTTGCCACGTTTCGAATTCAATTAAATTCTTCTTCGGGGCTCCGTAACAATGAATTTTCATGAACATATCTCCCACAAAACTTATACAATTATTATCGTTTCAATTCCTCATTTCTATAGATTTTTTTTCATTTTAGTCAAGACATCTGACAGGTCCTGATGTTGCACTTGGACCCAATTCTCCACATCCCTTTCGACAATCTTCTGACGTGGGGAAGGGTGAGCACTGATTGTGACGGCTTCACTTACTTGTGAGGCTCTTGCTGTCTTCTAGCCAAAGTCTGTTCCACCATCACTGCGGAGTAACCATCCCGTTGAAGGTCGTCATTTTTGATGATGCCTAGTTTCTTTTCGAGACCTTCCTTTGAATTGCAGAACCCAGAAGCACGACCTACTAGAGTCTTGATGATTTCTCTTTTGGCAGATTGATGGTGGTAGGATTCGTGATTCAGTAACTTTCCTGCGTGAGTGGATTTTCGGTCCCGTGTGAGTATCGGTCCTCTTCACCAATACGTCTAAGAATGGCAATTCATTGTGAACTTCCATCTCCATTGTAAAGGTGAATGAAGGTTCAACGCTATTGATGTGCTTGAAAAAGTTTTCTAGTTCTGTATTCCCATGGTTCCATACTATGAAGGTGTCTTCAACGTATCACAACCAGACTCGGGACTTCTTGTATATATTGAAAGAATCAACCTTACCGTACCTATCAAACTCGATTGAAGTTGAGTGGAAGAACAACTAAGTAGCACTTGTGCTAACTGACTTGAACTCCGCCTTTTTTGTATCAGCAACTAGCTCTGTAATTTATCTAAATATGATATGATTTTAAGATTCGAGAGTAGAGAGGACATCATTTCACCAAGGACTCCAATAATCAGAACAACCATCTTGACAGAGTGATCTGGATGAGTCTGCGGAGTTCGAAGAGAAAATCTCGATATTCCATCTTGTTTCCGGACGATATTCGTCTCGCCAGGAGCTAAAAACTCCACGACAAATATCGTTTTGCTCTGGTGGTCGAGTAGGACCACATCAGGCTTATTAGCTTGTATAAGCCTGAGGGTGGTGAACAAATAGTTCCAATATATTCGGCACTTCTCGTTCCCCACAACGGATTCAATATCCCCCGGAGAGTAGGGCAACACCGGTGTCTCGTCAATACCGTGAGAGTACCGTAGATGGTAATATAGCACTCTTAGAGCCGCGTTATGTCGATGGATATGTCGAGACAGCATATGCTGGTGATGCTGATAGCAAGTGCATTAAGGTCTCGGGCGCCTCGAGGCAGGCCCTGCACCTTGTGTCAGTAACCTCTATAGCCATCACGCGACCGGGGTAGACTAAGGTGTTGAAGACACCATCCTGGCAAGCCATGTTGAACCCCTCAGTTTCCGACTTCAGCCCACTCGACTTGAGGTCAGGTGCTTTGATAAGCCAAGGTCTCCAATGTTATTGAAGAAGACCCCATGCATTGGCTTATCCTTGTGTTTCTGTAGAAGTAAGGTGATCTCTACGGCTTTCATCTGAGATTTTTGCTGAACAGGTTCCAACTCGGTGACAGAGATTTGTTCAACTGAACACAAGTGAATTTAAAATTATTCCTTCGACACCGAATATCCCCCAATTTTCATTTTGTATTAGAAAAACAGTAAGTACCATTCATATTCGTTTTGCAATGGTTACAGGAATGGACCCGGCTGGACCGTTATTCAAAAAATGGCCAAAGAGTCACAAACTGGACGCCGGTGACGCAGAATTCGTAGACGTCATCCACACAGATGCTGGTATATTTGGATATCCCCGACAGATCGGCCATGTTGATTTCTGGCCGAACCAAGGAATCTCCCCTCAACCCGGATGCACATTATCTGAGGTGAAGATGAGGAGTCCGGAGTCCATCCTTGAACCACGTTAGTTTTTGACAGTACTGTTATATTTTAGGTTTCTTTAAAAACACAAACTTTGAGGAATTCCCATATTCTAATGATTGGCAATTGATCTAGAATGATTTTCTTATGGTTTTAGTGTTCTGCAGCCACTGGAGATCGTACCAGTTCTACGCAGAATCCGTTGTGAACTCAGAAGCATTCGCAGGAGCAGTTTCCTGTGATAGTTGGCAAGATTACATCAACGGATTATGTCCTACAGATGTTCGACCATCGACGAGGATGGGTCTCTATGTGGATTGGGAGTGAGTTCAATTTTTCAATTTATGTACTACATTGATTGAAGGTTAAATTCGGCCTACATCGTGAGATTGTACAGCTTGGCAATTGAAGCTATGGCTTCGAGATGCGCGAACAATAAAGAGAGATATTACTGTCCACTACTAACTTTCATCAGAAAGTAGAATCGGAAAAAGAATTTCGGCTTGAATCAATTCCATGGAAGTCCAAGTTCATAAATTTCTTTTCGCATAGACTTGAGTCACTAGAACTCCATCCTCTTCGTTGCAGGGCCAGAGGAAACCATTTTCTTCGGACCAACAGAGAATCGCCATTTTCTATGACGTAGGAAGTTTCATATTCGAAGAAGAAATATAGTCATCAAAAGACAGTCTTTCTGTAGTCAATTAATTTACCTCTTATACTAATTCGGAGTTGACATATTACTTTTAATTTATTAGTAAAAACGCTTTGAATACAAAGGGTTTTCACTAATTTTTTTTTAAATATTCGGCCATGTGAACTGTACTATTATAAACTCAGGTACTCTTCGCTGGATGCTGTATTATATATTTTCTTCATATTGTTTCTGTAGGCACAAATTTGCATCTCAACTGTTATATAAAATCAACCTGTCAGAAGCATATGAATGTGTTCGAACAGATTTTGTTTTAATATATATTGTTAAAATAATCATTTGTTTTATTATATTTCATTTCAAAAATGTTCAATTCTATACTAACCTTTGAGGTTGTGATGAAAACATTTATAAATCCCATCTTTTTTCTCTCCCTTCTCTATCTTTCTCTATTTGTCACGCTGTCACCAAATGGTGATAGACGAACGCCGAATTGAAGTAAGTGAGGTAGTAGAGGTTATTAACATCTCAAAAGAACATGTTTGTCACATATTGAATCAACATTTAGGCATGAGAAAGTTGTTCGCGCGTTGAGTGCCGCGTTTGCTCATGTTAGACCAAAAACGTGTTCGAATGAACATTTACAACACCTTCTTGACGCAGTTTAGGCGCAATAAATCCGAGTTTTGGTGCCGATTAATTACTGTACATTACTTGACGAGCTGAAGGCAAAACTTGCGGAAAAACAGCCACATTTGCAAAGAAAGAAAATCCTGTTTCACCAATATAACATACCGTCTCACACCTCAGCGGTTGTCAAAGCGAAAATCCATAATATACGATTTGAACTGCATGACTATCTGTCTTACACACCAGATCTAACCCTGAACAACTTCTATAAAAACGCCAGTGGAGTTTAAAGACTTTTTGTAAATTACTTGTAAAGTATTTTCATTAAAACTCAGTTGTCACTTATAGAAAGAAGAAGAAGAAAGAAAGAAATGTTTTCATTCATGGACCAACTACATGGTATCGAACATGTCAACTTATACTTATAAATATGTAAACAAACAAACATGTAAATATACATTCAATACATATAAACATAGGACCGTAAAATACAGATTTATATACATATATGTATAAATAAAAATGTAAAAAAGTATAGATGTACAAGTGTAAAAATGTAAAATTGAAATATAAAAGAATAAGATTATTTACACACAGATATCCACAATATCCAGTCATCTGAGACTACTCAGGATTTATTTACCTCTGATGAAGCTAGCCACTCATGCCAGCGAAACGTCAGGAAAAAAATCCGAAAATCGACGGTGTTCAAACCTGAAAAAGAGTGACACTGAAAACTTGGGCCGCGAAATCCCTAATCATTATGCCAAATGTCCCCTTCAAGAATAAATGTAACAGAACAGAACCTGATTGAAATTGCTTCTACTTAGCTTTTTCTTCTTCGAGATCCCCTTCTGCTCACTTGAAAAAAATCATTGAATTGGAATTTTTTCACTCCACTTGTTCATTTTCCAATTACACCTAATCAGATGAAACATTCATGTGAGACACACAAATCAAAAAAGTTGCTTCATTTGCAAACTTCACTGTTCATACAGTTTTTTTCCTAGGGTTCCATCACAATATCAGAACTGAATTGTACTGATTTTGACTTATTAAAAGTAGAATAGACAGAAGCAAAAGCTTCAGAGTAGTTACAGCAATCATTGTATTTAGAACACGCAAGATTTCGACTCACTCAAGTAAAAGAATTTTCTTCATGTCACTGTCAGTTTAGTTCACGATCTTATATGTCAGTGCTCCGAATATTCAAATCATCTCATTTCATTCTCCTCTTCATTCATGTCAGACAAAGTCGAAGACAGAACTGAAGAAAAATCCTCTAGTAATAAATGTGCAAATCCCCAATCAAAGTCTTCCTCTGAAATCGAAATCGAAAATGGAATCGGGAATGCTGCCACTACTTCCAAACAAACTGAAGTTAATACCAAAACTTATCCAGCCCATTCCGATACTCCCAGGAACATTGGAGAAATGGTGGAGAAGAAGGAACTTGGAGAATTCGAGGGCTTCGATGAGCCAGAAAAGGAATACCTTGTTCCAATCCATGCTTCTCAAACAAACTCCATCAACACTGAATACGCTGCAGAAGTCAAAGAACCACCAGGCTTTGTACATACAGAGTTTGAAAAAAAAAACGCCCTCAATGTAAAACAGAGGGAGTTTGGTGTGATTAATATCAAACCAACAGCTTCAAATGATGATATGAATGAGGTGAATGAGTTTCCCAACGTTGCCTCTAAAATGTCCGTACTTCATGAAGTCAACGAACCACCAAACATGGCTCTCAAGGAGTGCAAGGTCAAAGAGATTCTAAACGGAATTTTAGATTGCAAAGTGCTCCGTACATCTTCAACTCAAGACTTGTCGGCTGTTAACAAATCTTCCAAAGCGAACGCAAGTGAAGAAATCCCGGAAAACTGCCCTGATACTAGTTCTCAGTGTTCCCATGTTCAAACTTCCAAATTGGTAACTGTGAAGGAAATTCTAGGGGAAATATTAGACTACAGCATTTTCAAAAAAAGTTTACCTGCCCATGAGGAACGAAGACCAGCTTGTGAATTTGCTGAAGCAACATCTTCGAGGGGGGCGAGCAACTGTGAAATATGTCGATCTGAAGCGAATGTCGAATCCAGACGGTACCAAATATTCAGAACAAGTGGACCGCTTGGAATCATCAACTCTTCCAACGCCATGCACAGTGAAAGTTTTATCAGCAGTCAAGTTTCTAAGAAATCCCTCAATCGAATGCTTCCTTCCTATTCGGCGGTACTGAGATTAGGTCCGAAACGTAGCGTGAAATCCATCGAATCTTTCATTCCCAGGCTTCCTCCACCATCTTATGCTGAAGTGGAAGGTCTGTGGGAGGATTCCCCTACTTTAATATCGTCCGATTCGGTGGTGTTCGGTCCCGATCCAGTTTACATGGTATGCCCGGCGTGCAGGACCGTAGTGGTGACAGATGTTGAGAGGGAGAGATCCAACGTGACTCACTTGGTGGCTCTAGTGTTGTGTGTATTTTTATGCTGGCCATGTTGTCTGCTACCGTATTGTCTGAAGTCGTGCAATTATTCGTATCATAGTTGTCCGAACTGTAGGCATTACTTTGGTGTGTACAATCCTTTCTGAAGAAATATAATCGCTGATCGAGAGTCTTCTCATTTATTTATCAGAGTAGATATCGTTATGAAACAAAATCACTCATATACCCAAAAAGTTAGAGAGAAATGAAGACAACAGTCTCACACTGTTTACTGATGTTATAATGATTATTGAAAATATTACCCACTGAAATTCATAACCTCACTGCTTACACCACTTATGAGTGAGAATCTTTCAAATAAAGGAAGAAAGCGATCCATTTAGAAAAAGTTAACTCTATACATAGATGTGTAGATCATGTATGTTGTGAAGATATTAAAGTGATTATATGTAAAAAAATTGTATATTGGTGTAATGTATATTTGATATGACATGTGCTCATTCTATATATCACAAAAATATTCGGGTGATGCATTGTTGAAACATTAATTCATTGTTGCACTAACAAATTAGGAACCAGCAGTGTTTTTCCGGATGTATGGAAAAATCTACTGTTTGGAAAAAAAAGTGTTTGGCTTTCTACTACTCCATCTTGATACAAAAAAAATATGGGAATCGTACAAAGAAATGAAAAAATCAATCGATTTCAAAAATTAACTTTATACAAAAATATGTAGATCATGCAGAGAAGTAACTTTCAGACACAAAATGGAAGAAAAATCCCTTTCGAAACAGTCATTTTCATATACATATTGAATTACCCGAAAGAAAATCAATTTTTATATGAACGCTGAATTATACGAAAAACAATTTTCTCTATTCAGTTAGTATTTGTACTTAAATCTACTGTGTTTCCTGTTAACATAATTTCTAACCCTATGACACACAATGATCAAGTCTCATTAATACGGTACCGACAATTTAGAAAATTGTATAGAAAGGGACATATGGTGATAGTACCATCCTCTATGAATATTCCCACCTTCCTCACGGTTTGCTATTCTCACGAAACATAATCCGCTGACAGCGCTTTTCCAAGATATCTTTTTCTGTTTATAACCCTCGCTGAAGAAGATCGTGTCGACTTGTACTTTTGTAAAATAAATATTCTTCGGAATGACAATTTTCCGTTTTGAGTAATAAACTCAAATGAAAAAGAGTAAAGGTTTTAATCTAGATCCCTTCAGTACTCCACAAACAGTATTTTTAATGAACTTCCATTATTTATCATAGATACACAACTCAGTTTATTTTGGCTTTTCAGCGTAAAACATCTTACAAATAAGAATATCTGAAAACATCGCTGATTAATTTTGACTCCCATTTCAGTATTCTACGAACACTACGTAGCATACAGGCTCTTCACTAAATCACTAAATTATCCCAGCCGATACGCTGCCCGTTAAATGTTCGAATTATACAGCTTATGTTCGTGTATATTGCTCTGGATCACATACACAATTCATGGGTTATGCAGTTAAGCCCACGTAAGTACTCTATTATTTATTTATCCGTATTAATTTGGTGCTAAGGACAACCATCTTCATCACATAACGTTGGGGGTTTGCCACGAAATATGATCGATAAATCCCTTCATTTGGAAAACAGAAAGTATACGGGAATGTTTTTATTGTTATGATGGAAAGGTTATTCTACGATGGGTGGTTTTTATAATTGGCCAAACGACCTCTAGAAGACGCTATTGTGACGTCACAATATTAGTAAAACTTCCGACTCGTCCTGGTTTTACAAGAGTCCAATTTATACTTCAAATATGGTTCCAAGTCTACAGATTATAGATTCAATTACAATAATTAACATATGCGACAGCTTTTGTCCGCGTGAACAACTAAATAATAGCTAATTCATCGACCTTATCCTCGATTCTGTGGGTATATCTGAATACAAAGTAGCTCATCCTACTACTGAGTAATGTAGATTCCCAGTAGTGAACGAATTATTTATATTCGTTCAATATTTTCACACCTCATCAATTACAGCTGAAGACGCCAACTTGATTAGTGAGTATTGCAGCTCCAGTGATTACGTAAGGTACTTGTTTTGGATCTATCCTACGCCAGATTTTACATTTCGTTATGGCCGATGACAGAAATTCTTCCACTGTTTGAGGATCAAATCAACCATTTGAAACAATTAAAACATGTGTCTTCACTTCCTGATGTGCTAATTCGCTCGTAACTATGGTTGCTGTCTTTAGACGATTTCTGAGAGAACCTAAGAAATAATGGAACTTCTCGCGACAGTTATAATTGGTCTCCAGTATTTTGAAGAGGGGAATTTTTGACAGCTGTTAAGGCAAGATGCATAGAACTACCGGTACATAATCACATAATCACTTCCTATGTAAAATATTTTGACGAAAACACACGATCAACACTACTCTTGATGCTTCATGAAATAAACGTACTTTGGCATTCAATTAACAGAGTTGCTAAGCCAATGTTCACCTCTGGAAATCATTCTTGTGTCACTATCAACATCTGTACAAAGTTGGGTCAATCTCATTTCTCGCATCGATAGATTTTGAAAAATCATAAGCGGTTTCTATGCATCTTCGATCAGATCAATAAATTGAAGCAGTGACATTGAGAGAGTGACAAATAGAAAGTTTTAGATAGTAAAAGATAAGTGATACGTTCAAAAAATGAATTCTTGTTGCTTGTAACTATCCAATGAAGTTAAAAATCGTAATGCTTTATTTATTCTTGTGTTCTGTGGCGCTGAAAATGACAAATGACAAAACAAACATGTTATTGTTTAAATCCATGTTGTGTAGGGAAAAAACTGAAAACACCGATTGACTGTCATGGATTAAAAAAAAATTAGATTGCATAAAAATTTCAAAGTCAAGTTATAATTTAGAAATCGTCACAAACGGGAATTTTTATGATAGGTCAATTTTTTATAGCTTGTCTGTATTCCTTGACTACGTATAATAATGAATTGAAAATAAATCACTTCTTGCTTATGGCTTGTTTTATTGCATTTCATTACGGCCTTCAGACTTCAGATTTATCTACACATAATTTTCTGTCTTGAAAATTTTCCGCAATCACAGATTTATGTTTTTTTCGATAGTTAGGTCGAGAATTCCGACATGAAAACTTTTGAATTTTGAGTTGAAATTCCCAAAGTACATTATAGAAAGTAACTTCAAAAATTTTCTCCTCTAAACCATGGATGCACTGTTCCAAATGTTATGTTTAGTTAGACAGCCTGACAGTCCTAGAAATACATGGTGCAAATCTATTTTTGGTAAGTTTCATGGTATTCTACATTGTGTATCAATGGCATTTCCAATTATTGTAGGTGACAAATATATGCTAGATGACGATGAGCTTCTCATGGAATATATTCTATTTTCGATGTGTATACAGTACCATAAATATTTTTCTTCTGTCAAATCTACCAATTTCTGAAACAAGCGTTCTGTCATCTATCAGTTCTGTGTTTGTGTTCTGTGAAAGGGATCCATTTTAGAAACTTGTTTACAGAACACGTTTTGTGGTTTATTTTCATTAATGTTTCACCCCCATTGAATTTAAATTGCGGATGAAAATGAATAATAATATTGGATTCAACAACAAAGCTTGGGGAAGAACTAATTCTTCTCCCAACATGATGAATCAAGGCTCTATCCAACCACAACTGATGAATCAAGGCCCCTTGGGTAATATGGGAACGGGAATGGTTCAGTTCCCATCAAACCAGCAGGTTTTTCAAAACGCAATGGGATTACAACAACAGAATCTGGGTTTGGGATTGCAACAAATGGCTAATAATGCAATGAATGCGGCCGCCTCTTTGAATCCACAAATTGCCAATAATCCGATATTTCAGCAAGTCAGTTACCCTAACACTAGAGGTCTGAACCCTACCGCATTCCAGACAAATTTGTCCCTCCCTAACTCCCAAAGCAACTCCGGATCTGGCCCAAAACAAAGAGTATTTACAGGAAAAGTAACCCAAGTGCATGACAATTTTGGGCTAGTAGATGAAGAAGTAATCTTTCAAACATCGGTTTGTGTTAAAGGTTCTCATCCTATCGTCGGTGATAGGGTATTGGTCGAAGCATCTCACACACCCAACATGCACTTCAAGTGGAATGCGACCCGTATTCAAGTGTTGACGATGTCAAATTCTCGACATTCGAAAAATTATGGGAACTCTAGTAATAATAACTACAATTCAGTTCCTCCACCTGATGTAAGAGGTGGTGGTAGAAAAGGTGGAAGGGTTAGGGAGCGCTCTCGAGATAGAGACAGAGATGATGATGAGTCTGATAGGAAGAGAAGAAGGGAAGAGAGAATGAGGGAAAGGGAAAAGGAAGATAAGAAGTCTCCTGTGAGGAAGCGAACCCGTTCGAGATCACGTTCTCCGAAGAATAGAAGGAGGGCAAGGATTGTTCCAAGATATACTGTTCAGGTCCCAAAAATTTCACTGGATCTGTAAGTATGATTTTGTCTATACTATTCATTTCAAGATAAAGTAGTGGATTCAAGAAATTTCTGATATCTGATTAACCCTTTCACTGCCGTAAAAGTTTAGTAGGGTACGTACACTGGAGATTTTCAATTTTGAACATAGGATAAAGAAGATAACTTTCGTCTAATTTCTACTGAGTTTAGTCTTTTGAAACATGTTCAGACAATGAAAGTCTGAAATCTGACATTCACATTGTCAATCACTTTTGAAGCTATTCAAACTGTGAAAATCATTGTTTATTATTCTATGTGCTTCTGATAGAAGTCTTAGTCTTTTTCTTCAATTCGATTTCATCCAAGTGATCCCTTTACTACTTACTTTTGAGATAACTGAGAAAGTAAATGTATCAACATTTTCATTATTTCAGATCTGAAGGAGACGTTTTGGAAGTTCGTAGAAGATACACAAATTTATACGTGCCCTCTGATTTCTTCAATACCAGAATTCGCTGGGTGGACTCTTTTCCCCCAGATAAACCTTTCGCTTTAACGAAGCCTTGCTCTTTCCACGTTATGAACAAAGAAATAGACCCCATTATTGAGAACACTGCCGTTCTTGAACCACCGGATGCGGACTACCTCTTCTCGGCAAAAGTTATGCTGATGAGTGTGCCTGGTATTGATGAGATTTACCAGAAATGCTGCACACTGGCGGAGGTGAATGAAGATAAAGATTTTCTTCATCCCAATAAACTTATCATGCATCCAAGTAGGCTAATAAATTTCTTGGTGGGACTACGTGGTAAAAATGAAACGATGGCGATCGGAGGGGCTTGGAGCCCGTCTCTTGATGGGGAGAACCCAGACAGAGATCCTTCAGTTTTGATCAAAACTGCTATAAGAACTTGCAAAGCATTGACTGGGATTGACCTGTCGAATTGTACAAGATGGTGAGTACTGGAAATATCATTTTATTTCAGATATTAATTTGATTGTGGGTTGTTAGGAATTTAGGTATTTTATGTAGGTTATTCAGATTGGCTCGCATATCAAATGGGTAAATTATTCTGGATTGTATTATCCACTTGATCATTACCCTGACTAATTGAAGTTCTGCATTCAATTTTGACAGACAGTTATTTTAATAAGTTTGCTGATTTTGTGTAAGATTCAAAGGTTGTTCAAAATTCACTGGAAGTTCAGTAATATCTTGAAAAAGTGCTTGTTGATAAGTGAGAAACACGGCATTCTTATCAGATTTTTTTTTATTGATAAAGCAGTTTTCCATGGCATCAATTGATTATAAAGTAGTTCTCACAAAAAATTCCTGTTGTTCAATTTTCCAGTGAGAGTTACATCTAAACTGAGAATTCATCCATTGATTTGAAAAAAAATTATACACAAGTGGTTGTAAATGCAGAAATTAGAAACTGATTTGTAAACTTTTTAATAACCATTATTACAACTGTCTTTGCAATCTCAAATCAAATATATTTGGAACATTTGAATTCCAGAGGTGAATTTGAAATGTTAGATGGCTTTAGATAGTACAAATCAAATACTGTCACTATGGATATCATTGCTTTCTATTTTGAACTGAGTAGAACGTTTAATTCAAGTCATCACCAGCTACTGATATATATTACACTGAATTGGCAAGTGAACCGATTGCCTAATATCCTTGTAGCTGACAACAAAAAGTTTTGAACAGAAATAGATCTAAGGAAAATGTTCTGAACATCGACGTTCCTCAAGGGTCATGTCAGGACCGGTTTTTTTTCAATTCTCATAAATGGTTTACTAGTACGCCCTAAATCAGTGTTTATGATGACATCACAAGATTCTCAGACTAGTGCAACACACCACTAGTGGTGGAAATGAATCATTCGATAAGGCTAAATATAGCTGTTTTGATGTTATAAAATCACTGTGTATTACTCACTCGTTTTCAAGTTGTTTATTATAATTGTAGTTAGATGTTGATTTAGTACTACTTGTACTTACAATGTATTTGTCACCTTATTACATAGGGCAGACAAGCTCCATCAAATTTCCAGGTATCAAAAAGCATCATGAAAAGCAATGGAACCTCCAAATGCACGAAAAAAAACTTTTGTTGTCCAAACAGGCACTAGACCTAATTACAGGCCACATTATACAATTTTGGGATGGAAGTGTTGAATATAGCAAATATACAAATATTCATGGAATAGGTAAAAGAAAAAAATAACAAATTTAAAGTAAGTGTTTGATGATTTGCAAAGTTTTGGGATAGGAGTGATGAATATAAAAAATATACATATAACGTAAATACCTTCATTAAAAAAAACTAATTTTTAATGAGTATTTGTTGCTATACAAACAGAATGATTTTTATCTCTTTTTTGAACATATTTAATGGTGTTGAATGAATGTTCACTTTCTGATACAATTGATTAAATTTATAGCACATTGCAAATAAGGGATATTTGAAAAACATAATGCTTCTCGGTGTTTGTAGGTAAAAACATTGTTTAGTTCTACCACTGATTCTTGGCACATGAAACTCTAGTTGAGATAGTAGTTTTGGTGAGTTGAGAAGATTGCAAAAAAAACAAGCACTTTGTTTCATTGTCAGCAAAATATTACTGGATTTTTTTATCAGAGTGAAAATTACAGTAGATGGACATGGACATATACTTTATTCTCCAAGAAAATAGAATCTTATTGACAAAGCTTGGTAAAAAATCTGGTATGTATAGCACTTTAAAGAATAAAAGAAAAAAAACAATCCAAAAACACAAATACCCAGAAACACAATTTGAGCAAAACTAAGTTCACATATCTAATAGATAAAATAAAACAATACAAAATAAAATTTAACAAAGTTTGTAGACATAATAGTTTGTACAGTCCCTTTCAAAAAAATGTAAAAAACAAATATACACAATTTTAAATCACAGCAAAGTTCCATTGTAATATTCATCAAGATTGTAGTACGCTTTTGTTGCAAGGGCATCTTTAACAAGATTTCTGAACTTTTTATAGCTTTTTTTCCTTCCTACTTCCATAAGGTATATGATTATACAGATTTTTACTTTCATAAATTAAAGAATACTTTGTCTGACTTGTTTTTGAAACAGTATTACATCTGTTGACTTAGGTAAATAATTTTTTTTTTATTTATCTGTAATCCTGCTTTCACATTTTCTATCTTTTATCTACTCTCAAGGCAAAGTTTAAACTCTGTTACTGATAAAGAAATGTCCTGAGCCAATCAACATTCAAACTTCCACATTCATTGTGGTCAACAGGTTATTTTCAGTGCACCCACTTCAAAAAAGGATAGGTTCATTAATTTTGGGCTGAGCATTGTTTACTGTTTTGTGCTTTGTGTTGTTTTTGGGTCGGGAGGGGGCATTGTAACCACCTGCTCACACGTTATATTCCGTTAGGTACCGTTTCGTGGAGCTGTATTACCGCCGCAACGAGTCTACCCACAAGGGGAAATCTATACCAGCCCGTGTTGAAACGGTGGTGCTCTTTCTGCCAGATGTGTGGAGTTGCCTGCCGACGCGCCTGGAGTGGGACGGCCTGCAGCAGTCCTACAGGAAGCAGCTGGAGCGTATCCTGAATGCATCTTCAGAGAACGAGACTAACAACGATGACTCCTCGATAGCTGATGAAAAGGCACCTCTCTTTATAATTCTATGTATACGATAGGCTAGGTATATGCTGTGCTGTGGCCGATGTGGCAATAAACTGCATTCACGCCGAGGATGTTTGAGCAAGGAAAAAATACTGTAATGTGTGGCGATAGTCGCCACTGAAGTATGAGTGAATGCGTACTAGCACTGTGTGAGTTGTTGAGTGACAGACGAATGACGAGTTGTTGTTGTTTTGCTCGAAACTAACTTGTTTTGTTGTTCTTTAGGAAGAAGAGCAGTCCACGGACAAACTGGAACCTACTCATTACTCGCAATTGGATCCGAAAAACATGGTCGTTAACGAACTGAGAGCCGAGCTGAGAGCCAGAAATATCAGCGATAAAGGGTTGAAATCCCAACTCGTTGCCCGGCTCACAAAGACTTTGAAGGTCGAGGCCGAGAAAACGGAAGAGAATTCCAAGGAAACTAAAGAGGATGAAGGGGAAGGAGGGGGTGGAGTGCAGGAGGAGAAGAAGGCGGAGGTTTGTTGTTATTATTTTCTTCTTTGTTATCATCTGATTGTTTATTGTTTTATTGATTCTACCTCGCAAGATCTGGTTTTTTGCAAGTTTCAGGAACCTTACGGTTTTAAAAACTGAGTTCGTTCGCGTTTCCCTTTGATGAACATGTAGCAAATAGCAGTGATGCCAATTTGCGTGTAATTACACGAAATGCGTGTAATTTTTACCCCTTGCGTGTAATGGAATTTTGCGTGTAATTTCTGAAGTAGCTCATATTAGAGAGAAATGAGAAGAAGAATAATAAACCTGAACATAGATGTAAAATGTCTTCATCAGAATTTTTAGTAGCGCCAAGTATATCTAGTATTAAGGTTGACGATACTATTGAGTCAGAAGAAAACTAGAAAATATAAATTTTGTGAGTGTTGGTTGCAAGAATCAAATTTGAAAAATTGGTTGACGAAGTCAAAAGATATGGGAAAACATAAAGAATGTCAGGCTTTTTACAAATTATGCCAAGTAAATATTCTACCTCATAAGGCAACCTTGTTGAAACACAGACAATCTACAAAACATAAATTTCTAGAGAAACAAGTTTCCACCTCTTCAGATTTATCGAAGTTATTGAATAATCCATTGTCTGAAAAAACGAGACGAGCAGAAATCAAATTAGCAGGCCTTCTGGCAACTAATAATTTACCATTTTCATTAACATATGTTTTGACTCCCCTACTTCAGGACATATTTCCCGATAGCACAATAGCACATGAGATGGCAATGCATCGAACAAAAGCTACACAAGTATTGAAAGAGAGTCAAGGGTGCATTATAGCTATTCCCAGTTCCGTCAGCCGTGTAATTAGCAGAATCAACTATATACATTCTCTTAACAGGCGGTTTCGAGGTCACGATATTTCAATCTGTGCTAATTTGCCGTTAAAGACTTACGAAAAAAATTTCCTTGCCTCTACTTTTCAATGTCAAAGAGGGTGTCCAGAGAGGGTGTAATCATGAACATTTGCGTGCAAAAACGTGTAATTTGACAGTTGGCGGCGTGTAATTTGACCGATGTCTGTTGGCAACACTGGTTACTAATTATTATAAATACCTTTATGTGTGTAACAAAAGACAATAAAAACAATGACAGTATTAACTAATAAAATACATTTATATGACTAATGAGCGAGAGACTTGTTTTTTAAAAGTATTTTGATTATCACAGAAAAAATTGACTTTATCACAGTAGTTATTTCCCAGCCTCAACATTTCAGATAAAGGAGAATGATAACCATAGTTGGTTGAGTGATATGGTGTAAAAAAATAGCTTTTTTTGTCTAGTGGACCTCTGTGGAACGTTGAAGTTGATAAGAGATAGAATTTCCGGACAATCAATGAGATCAGATATAATTTTGAATAGATAAACCAATGTCGCAGTTGTTCTTCTATCCTCAAGACACAACAGAGATAATATACTCATCACTTCACTGTAACTGTATTCACCTATAACCAACCCTAGTTTGTATGCCATGGTCCTTAGAAATTTATTTTGCACATTTTCTAATTGTTGTTTATACTTATGGTAGCAGGGACTCCAGATGATGGTGTTATACTCTATGATAGGGCGTACTAAAGAGCAATATAATACTTTGGTTGTGAATGGAGAAAGATTGGTTGATGATCTCACAATAAAGCTAAGCATTTTTAGAGCTCTCGTAGAAACAGAATTCACATGGTTGTTGAAACAAAGCTTGGCATCTAACAATATACCCAAATCCTTACACTCTTCTTTACATTCCAACATTTCATCATTCAAAATTTTTTTAAATTTTATTGGTGATCGAGACCTACTGAACATCATTGAGTAGCATTTTTTTGTGTTGAGATAAAGACAGTTTGCTTCACACCAATCAGAAATGGAGTTTATATCACTCTGAAGAAGATTAGCATCATGGACACTTTCTACAACCTTGAAAATTTTCAGGTCATCGGCAAATAACAAGATTTTTGAATTAGTGATATTTGAGCTAATATCATTGATAAAAAGGCAGAACAACAAAGGGCCACAATGTGATCCCTGTGGTACACCTGATTTTACAAAAAGAGGTTCTGAAACTGTACTATTCACTCTAACTGATTGAGAGTGTCCAATTAGATAACTGCTTATCCAATCTAGAATGTTACCGAAGAAACCAATGGCAGATAATTTTTTTATCAATAAGTTATGGCTGACCCTCTCAAAAGCTTTTGAGAAATCAGTGTAGATAGCATCTACCTGCACAGACCTCTCAAGTGCTTGTGTTTTATAGTGCTGATAATACAATAAGTTTGATGCTGTGGAACGTCCGGATGTAAATCCATGTTGCTCTTGTAAGATCAAGGGTCTAAATATATTTGCAATATTCGTATGTCTTATGTGAAATTGTAAAAAAATATAGATTGAAAGGAAACTAATTTTGGTAAAACTAACTTTTTTTAATATAAATATTTATAACTTTTTGATGAATTGATAAAAATATTTCATCTCTGAGATTATTCGTTAGACTTTGTAGGTATGACTTTAAAAAAGATTTGAAGAAGGAGAAGAAGAACTTTATTCATTTAGTAGGACATGTCCTAATATAAAAATGAAAAAATAGCTATACAAACATGTTTCTAGACTAACAGTTAGTATATAATCCGATACCCACTGCAAACAATCTAACATCGCCGCAATGCTGGTAAAACGATTACACTTCAGTGTTATTCTCATACCGCGATTTTGCAGCTTTTGAAGTTGTGAAATTTTATGAGAATCAAGGGAGTATAATAAGCTACCACAATAATCAAAGTGGGGCTGGATAATGGTGTAATATACTGTAATTTTGGAGTATGTTGAAAGACATGAGGAAATTTTAAAGAAGAAGAAAAGTTTTTTACTATACTAAAACCAATAATGATTGAGAGTAGAAGTAAGCCCAGTTGACAGCAAATCGGGGGCGTGCTTATTAATTTTTGAGAGGGTTAAGAATGAAAGAAAAATTCTTAGTACAATTAGTTAAAATACTCATACACATTTTTTATTTATTTCATTAAAACTTTGTAATATCGTAATTTACCTAATCGTTGTAGTCATTAGGTGGGCCTTATGAAAACGGAGTAATAATCGTATGACCGTATGTCCTTGGTTAACCCATGTCTCGTCCATGAAGTACAATTTTTTTTTGAGCTTCCGAAATTCGTCAATTTTTCTTAGATAGTTTCTTCTCCATGCTATTATTTCTTGACGTTCAATGAGAATGCTTTTCCTGTCAACTAAATACTAGAATAATCCTTTTTTAATTTCCATATGTCGCATAGTGTTGCTCATCTTTTATTATGTATAGTTGTGTAGATTTATATAGTATTAAGTGTGACATTTTACCTTTTATTAACAAGTTTAATTGTTGTTGACATATTTTCTCTGGTATCAGTGCTATGTATATTTTACATTTTTTTTTTTTAATTTTTCAACTTTGTAACCATGATGTTATTCATGAACAATAAAGTACTTTCTCTCTCTCTCTCTCTCTCTACTGCTTACTATATTTTGATTCTGCTATAAACAGGTAACGTAAAATTTAGATATGACAACGCGCTTTACTCTCAATCATTATTGGTTTTACTATAATTTTTTTACTTATGTAGAAAAAATGTTCATGCAATAATAGACTATTATCAAATATGAATCCAAGATATTTAAACTCGTTTATGAATTCAATTTTCTTGTTATCTATTTCCAGATTGAGTTGGTTTGAGTTGATGTTTTTGTATTTGAAGGGTGTAGTTAGGATCATTGTCTTACATTTTGTCACATTGAGTTTCATTTTGTTAATATTGAAATATACTTGTAGTTTTGTTGATAGTACCATACAGATCATTGCCTGAGATTGACAGTAACATGTCATCTGCGAATAAGTTGAGAAAATCACGATCATGATAGTATTGTATATCATTAATATAGCATAGGAATACTAAAGGACCCAAGACACTTCCCTGTGGTACACATTTTTTATTGTATATTTCTTAATGTACCTCATTGCTCTGCTGTAAATTTCAGTTGTTTGCAAATATGTCAGTTTTTATTACAAGTAATTTCATGTATTTCAATGTTCACGTGAAAGTAGTCATTGCCAAATGGTTTTTTTCCTCAGTATCTGAAAGAAAGTCTGATCTACATTTCTTTGAACAGAGTTTTCACTGTAGTTGTTTTGTTTCTTCCTGTCTTTGACAGTTTCCCACATTTTTTGTTCAATGATGTAGAAGAAAATTAATCTCTTCTAAAAATTCCGCCTTTTCTGAATCTACTTGAGTTTAAGTATAAAATGGTATTTCAATGTTTGAATATTTCTTCTCTGCAATAGCTTAATAAATATACTCTCATGGCCCAGCTTTAAAATTAGATCATATTTATCTATCAGAAACAGTTTGTGAAACGTATTAGTGTGATCACAATATCTTAATACTCAACATTAAAAAAAATCGCCGCTTTGAAATGACAACTTTACAACTGAAAATTCTAAAAGATAATAGTAATAATCCTTAGTTGAATGATGCCCTTACTACTCTCAAACCACAAGATCATCAATATGTCAAAAACCTGGCAGGTGAAATACAGAACGCTCTCATTCTTGGCTCAATGCATCTAATAAAGGCACCTGTTTCAGATGCAGGTCTTGAGGAAAAGGGTTAACTTCCATATAGAGTTAACTTGCAACTCTTTTTATGAAAAAAAAAAAAATTAAGGAGAAACAACTAAATTGTCTTTTTTCTGTCTTTTTTCATCTTTCCTCAGTTATCAAGTGAGATGTTAATATTATGTAGACTCAGTTGAAGGCATATACTCTATTTGTATGCAAGGTAGATCAGAGAGTTTTGAATTGTATTATTTTGATTCGTAAATTATAGGTTAGGTGAGGTCATTTGTATGATAACACTCAACATAAATAAGATCGAAGATATTTCATTCCTATAGGATGTCTTTCAAGTCATAAGTTTATTTTTTAAGAGAAAACAACGAAACTCACATTCAATGTTATTTAGGTTGAAGAAAAGAAACTTGATGAACGGGAGAAAGCCCTCTTAGAAAAAAGGCACACCCTTCCTGAGCAGCCCCACATATTGGTACACCCTTCGAGGACTGCAAAGTCTGGAAAGTTCGAATGTACAGTGATGTCCTTGTCTCTTCTTTTAGACTATAGACCGGAGGACACTAAAGAGCATTCTTTCGAAGTGTCTCTGTTTGCAGAATTGTTCAACGAAATGCTCATCAGGGATTTCGGCTTCAACATTTACAAGGCTCTGCACGAACTGCCAGAAAAGAAAGAAGAGAAGAAAGAAAAAGATGAGAAAAAAGATAAAGAGGACAAGAAAGACGATAAGAAAGATAAAGATGAAAAGAAGGATGAAGAGGAAGTAAAGAAGAAAGACGAAGTGGCGAAAGGAGAGGAGAAGAAGAAGGATGAAGAAAAACCAAATGAAGAAAAGAAAAAGAAAGATGAGGAAGATAAGAGAAATGAGGACAAAAAGTCTGATAAAGATAAAAGAACTGGCGACAAGAGGGATGATGATAAAAGGAAATCTTCTAATGCCAAAAGGGATGACAAAGCAGTTGACGACAGTGACGACGACGAGGAAAGTGAAGAAGACGATCGAAAAGACAAGAAAAGAGATAAGGACCGGAAGAGAAAGGAGAAGGTGAAACTGTACACTAAGGATAAACATTTATTGCTCTCTTTCGTCTACTTCGATCAGACACATTGTGGCTACATTTTTGATAAGGATATCGAAGATCTTCTGTTCACTTTGGGTTTGAAACTGTCCAGAGCACAAGTTAAAAAACTAGTCAGTAAAGTAGTCGTGAGGGACACGCTTCACTACAGAAAATTAACGGACAAGCCAAAAGAAGAAGAATCGGTGTCAGTGGAAGAACCTGAGGATACGGAGGCTTTGAGACAGTTGGCCCTAGGAAATAAGAGCATGCTACCAGTTCTCAAAAACGAGGATGAATCAAAAATATCCGCACAAGCAGAATTACAAGAAGGTTAGTGAAAATCTCAACGTCATATTTGAGGATCGTAAAGATTTAAAGTAGCAGAAATATTTTTGTCGATGCAATCGATTCCATATCAAAAATTTTTCAGGTTTCGCCCATTACCGTGGGTCTTTGGTGGACATTGGTAAGCTCATCTCTCAGCTCGAACGTAGTGAAAAGACGCGAATAGAAACCGAAGCGAGGATGGTCGACTTGAAACATGAAAATCAGAAGTTGTCAGATAAATACAGTAAATCTAATTCAACGATAAAGCATTTGAATTCTGAGGTGAAGGACTATAGGGAGCGGCTGAGAAATACAGAGGATTCGCTGCATAAAGTCACTGTAAGTATGACCATATTTTGACTTCTCTAAGAAGGTGATTCCACTTGACTAAAATATAAATTGAGCAACCGACTGTATTAAAACTGTTCGTAAGTTGATGAAGAGAAACATCAATGAGTCAAGTTTTGAAATTAACTATCGACAGTGGGTTTTCCAGTTGAGGAACTCATCTTGAGTGATTCCCAAGAATCTTATATTTTGATCAGCATTTGTTAGGATCGCTTTGTTCACCATGAAATATATGGTTTCCACTCTGTTTTGCCAATTGTGAAATTGAATAACTTCTCTTTTATCTTCATTAAATAATAAGTTGTTGTTATTGAAGTAATTTTATATCCGGATTACTATTCTGGCACAATTGTTTTCTAATATTTTTGTTCCTGGTGCAGGTAAAACTAGTGAATAGTCATCTGCATAAGCGGTATAATGACCTCCGATAACTGCTGATTCGATATTATTCAAATAGAGAATAAAAGTAGAGGACCCATTATTGAACTCTGTGGTACACCCATACCTGAATTCAGAAAATCAAAATTAACTCTGTAACCTTCATTCATTCTATTGAATTGCATTGACAAAAAGATATTGATCTGACAAAATGGACCTTCTGGTGTGTAGATCATGAAATATCAGCGGAAAATTGTTTCTTGTGGTGTAAGAGCAGGAAATAACAAACATTATGTCAATATTAACTATCAAGATCATCGGAGCATTAAGAAACCTAAAATCTGAAGCTGCTGATTCAATCATCTATAGCAGGGGTCCTTGAACTTTGAAGCCTTCGGGCCATAATGATTTTTTCACTTTGTTCCAAGGGCCAATTTCTGCCCTTAACTATATTTCTAGACTAGGATAGTCGCAAAGTGCGTGACCTAAGCAAACTTATGCTTTTTTTACATTTCAATTATTATTGTGTATTGTGACACTTAACGACATCTAGTGGCGAGTAGTGGTACTATGTACCATCTTTTTCAGCTACCCGCATTATGCGTAATTAAATATTTGGAATTACCGCGTTGGTTCGAGAAAGTTCTGGTTCTAGCTAGTGTATTCCGATCACCTTGAGATGTCAGTAATAAATGCATATAAAAAGGCTAGCGGCGCAACTGCGAGTTAGTCTGCGTAGGAAAGGTGAAGGAAGCGAAACTGTCTATTGTGAAATAAAGTAACACCCGTCAATAAAAGTATTTTGATTTGACTTATTGTTTTTATGTGTGATTTGTTAGTATGGAAAAGAAGCGAAAAATCGACAGTGAATGCAGAACATTCCAAAAAAATGGAACTTTCAGTATTTTGTGATTGAGTCCAGAAATAAGGCGCTATGTTTAATTTGTAATGAAACCATAGCTGTTCTCAAAGACTATAACATCAAACGACACTATGAATCGAAACATCTTTAAAGTTACTCCAAGTATACAGGAAGTTTGCGGAAGGAAAAATTTGAAACTTTGAAACGCGGACTCAAATCGCAGCAATCTTTGTTTACCAAAGCGAATACTGAACAAGAGTCTGCAACTCGCGCCAGCTTTCATGTGGCTCTTGAAATCGGAAAACGTGACAAACCATTCACCGATGGAGAAATGATAAAAGAATGCTTGATTGCAGTGGCCGAAGAAATATGCCCCAAAAAGGTAAATTTATTTAAAAGTGTCAGTTTGTCAGCAAACAACGTGGCTCGGAGGGTGCAAGACATCGCAGAAAATATATCATCTCAACTGTCTGACAAAAATGGACATCATGAGTGGTTTTCTCTAGCATTGGACAAGTCAACGGATGTGTCAGATACTGCTCAGGTGTTGATTTTTATTCGCGGAGTAGCTAAAAGCTATGACGTGTATGAAGAACTTCTTGATATTGATAATATTCACGGCACGACAACTGGGGCAGATATTTTTAAGGGAGTTGAAAATGCCATTAATAAAAAGAACCTTCGATGGAGAAATTTGAAATCTATAACAACTGATGGAGGCAAAAATATGTATGGTAAAAATAAAGGAGTGGTTGCACTTGTGTCAAAGGCTGTAGAAAATGATGGTGGTTCAAAACCATTAGTCTTACATTGTATCATTCATCAACAGTCTTTGTGCGGAAAATGTTTGGATATGTCTGAAGTTCTAAAACCAGTCATATCAGTTGTTAACTTCATCAGATCCACTGGGCTGAATTACCGACAATTCCGCGAGTTTATTCAACAGATTGGAGAAAATGATTTACCATATCATACTGCCGTACGCTGGCTTAGTTGCAAAAAAGTCCTTAAGCGCTTTTTTGAATTTCGAGCAGAGATCGAAATTTTTTTAAATGAGAAGCAGCGCCCTTTTGCCGATTTAGAAAATAGTGAATGGATGTGGAAGTTAGCCTTCTATGTCGATTTGATAAATCATATGAACGAACTGAATTTGAGATTGCAAGGAGAAAATGAGCTTCTCCCTGATTTATGCACTGATATCAAATCCTTCAGGCAGAAAATAATATGATTTCAATCGCAATTACGTAAAAAATGTTTCACACATTTTGAAACATGTGAAATATTCAGCCACACTACAGAGACTGAATTTCCCGTCAATTTTGCAATCGAAACTTTGAGTGCTTTGAAGATAAATTTTGATACTCGTTTTTCAAATTTTGATGTCATTGTGAATGAAATTAAGCATTTTCAAAATCCTTTTGATTCTGACATTGAAACCCTGGCTCCGGAACTACAAATGGAAATTATTGATTTACGGTGCAGTGATATGCTTAAGAACAAATATCAAAATTCATCTTTGTTGGAATTTTATAAGAGTCTTCCACTGGAACAATTTGATAATTTGCATAAATTTGCTAGTGGGTTGTTTTCTGTTTTTGGTACTACTTGTGTGAGAAAACGTTTTCCAAGATGAAGTATACAAAGATTGTTTACAGATCTCAATTAACCGATGAGCATCTTGAATCTCTTTTGATAATTGGTACAAGTTAAATTGATCCACAACTACAAAGTATTGTCGGTGAAAAATCACAATTACATTAATCTCATTAGTGTTTTTGTTTTACTGTGATTCATTTCAATTATTTGTTAGTTATTAATATGCTTAAACTTAGATACTTAAGTTAAGTTTTCTTTGTCGTTATTTCTGTCGTTAAGTTTTACCTTGCAAGTAAATACAACCGAGTAATTATCATTCTGTGTTTTCTTCTTCAACTTATCACAGCAATAGTAACAACAATTAGGTAATCATTGGCTGTCGCGGGTCAGATTGATGACAATAAATCATTGGCTGTTGCGGGCCGGATTGATGACACTGGCGGGCCGGATTTGGCCAGCGGGCCGTAGTTTGGACACCCCTGATTTATAGCAAAGGTTTTGTCCTCTCCTCTTTCAGGTGCTTTACTGGAGCAAACATTAGTGTTGAAGCTTGTCCACCTCTGTATATTGAAATCATAATTTTTATTTTCAGGCCCATTCAAAATTATTCCAACAAACGCTTGTCGATATTCGCGACAAGATCGATCCAGTTCTCAAGAGCACGGCTCACAAAGAAGATTCAAAAAAAGAAAAGGAGGAGAAGGAAAAAGAAAAGGACAGGGATAATAAGAAGTACGACGACGGCAAGTCCAGGTGGGAAAAGGATAAGGACAATGCCAAGAAGGAAGAAACGGCAGACGTTGAAATGAGCGAAGTAAAAAAGGAAAAGGAGTGATATGAATAGGGAACGTGTGAATATTTGGGTTTTTTATAGGTTAGGCGGGATAATGTTAAACTTTAGTCATAAAGTTGGAGTTTTGTCTGGAGCAAATGTGCGTTTAGTTATAATTTAGAGTTAGGGTTTATAGATGGCAAGTGGCATTGAATATTTTCAGTTTAGTGACTGTGTTCATTAGACAGTGAACAAACAAAAAAAAAATAATTTTCCAATAAACGTATACAGTGTGGACATAAATCTGTTGTATGTGACAAGATATCAAGGTCGAATGAAGGCACCATTTTTAGTACTTTGGAATAAGCTATCAACTTTTTATTTTCAAAGTGGCTCTATCAAAAAGTGTTTAGTTTTTTGAGATCAGACAAGCCATTTCTGGGTTATTATTTTTTATATTTTCTTTCTGAGAAACTTCAAATATAATTTTGATGAAAATTTCATTCAAACTCACTCCAATTGGCGTATTGGCGTGAATTATTCACGCCAATACGCGTTCAAAATTTTTACAGTTCACTATCTAACACTATTGCCCCCCGAAACATTATAGAATGTGGTTATATAATGTATACTGTATATTTCAGGTTTGCCCCACAAAAATCTAGGGGCATCGAAGCAGGTAATCTAGCGGGCCATTCTAATGAACCGTGTCTGTCCATTATTGTGTTTGGATAATTGTCATCTAATTACTCTCAAGCCAACTTATCATATGTTACCTGAAAGGTAACATAAGTTGAAAACTCGTTTGCATAGACCTGAACTATTTTCTCATCAATCATAGCCTGAGATGATTTGTGCATATTATAATGTGGTTACCCAAAAAACCTGCTTAAACCTTTCCTGAATATTGTGGGTACATGCGGTTGTATAATGTATACCCTATAGTTCTCGTTTCCCCCACAAAAAATCTAGGGGAATCGAAGCAGGTAATTTAGCGTGCCATTCTAATGAACAACGTCTGCCCATTATTCTGTTTGGATAATTGTCATCTAATTACTCTCAAGCCAACTTGTTGTTTACCTGAAAGGTAACATAAATTGAAAACTCGTTTGCGTTGACCTGAACTACTATCTCATCGATCATAGCCGGAGATGATTTGCATCATTTTCAGCTTTAGGGAACCATTTGAATTTTCTTCCAAACATATTGGTACTGCAATGTGGTTACCCAGAAAACCCGCCTAAACCTTTTGTGAATATTGTGGGTACCTGCGGTTGCATAATGTATACCCTATAGTTCTCGTTTCCCCCACAAAAAATCCAGGGGCATCGAATCGGGTAATCTAGTGGGCCATTCTAATAAACCATGTCTGCACAATATTCTGTTTGGATAATTGTCATCCAATTACTGTTGAGCCAACTTGTCGTACTGAGGTGTACATTACATGAAAGTTAACCTAAATTGATAACTCGTTTGCATTTGCATCGACCTTGAACTACTATCTCATCAGTCATAGACCTGAGATGATTGGCATCAAATTCAGCTTCAGAGAACCAGTTAAATTTTCTTCCAAAAATGTTGGTACTACAATGTGGTTGCCCAGAAAACCCGTTAAATCAATTACCTCTCGTGAATATTGTGGGTACCCCTAAAAAAAAGTTTTTTTGAGTTATTTTTGATGGTACTGAAATATAATACCACACAATCAGCAGCTGCTACTTTCGAGAGTAACCTCAATAGATCTTAAAATGTCAACTCATTTTTTCTGCAATAGGCTTTCTACTTGATCCTTCCTGTATGTAATAAGTAATTTTGACAAATTGGGAAGCACTGGACTATTGAAAGAATATTAATACAGTTTTCACATGATGAGGTTAACAGACCAGTGACTTGAATTTGATTCAATAATAATAATAGTAAAGTTTGACTACATAGACTCTATATATTGAGAATTTATTACGATAGAAATTTCTCCAAGGTATAAAGGAGTTCATTCTATAAATATTATTTAAATGTTTTTGGGGACCAAAAGTAGGCGGCTTCTTGCTTGATATTCGCAGATAAGTTGTTGTACAATGTAATTCCATTGAAGTTAGTATCCTTTAGTGATATTTCGAGGTGTAATGTCATCGTGACAAAAAATATTGTCTCCATTTTCTTGTATACAGTTTCAAGAAAATATATGCAGCAGAATTTAAGTATTTTAAGCCTTTCAATAAGAGACTTTTTTTTAATTTTAATTTATCATTGCAATAACGGTTTTGTGTAAAATCATTTGTTCACTGAAGAATACATTCCCCTCAGTAGTAAACAAGTAACTTTTTTGAAATACTTATTTTGAAAAGGTTTGATATTTAAATGTTTCTATCGTACTACCAATTTTCCTTCAATGTTTTACCTAAATTTCCACTTCAGCATTAGCTTTCTCAGGAAATACTGTTTTATTCCATGAATGAATTGAAATTGTTTCTGAAACGCCCCAAAATGCAGATATTATGCACTTGTGCCAATCCTCCAAACACTTCTCCAACTCCTCCTTTGGGATAGCCTTCAGTCCTTTCAGCAATGCTGTGGTTGTGAAGTGACGGCATTCTATTTTTCTCTTCATTTTAGTGAATAGGAAAAAGTCACACGAACCCGTATCTGGCGAATATGGAGGCTGGAGCATCGTTACAGAACATGAGCAGTGAAATGTGACTAGGTGCACTAGCGGATTGCTTCACGCAAATCATCAGCGACTTCTCTGATTGTGATTTATATATAACCATTTCTCTCTCCGTTCCATCGGCTGTTGGTGCATTTTTAATGCAAAATTTGATTTGCCAAAAGAAAATCGCCGAGCTCTTAAAAATATGTCTTGACTTAGCGATATGAAAGCCAACATAATTGATAAAAATGTTAACAATTGAACTCTCCAAATCCGTGAAATTTTAAATTTCCACTATTTTCTTAACGTTTCTCGTATTCGTTTTTTTTTTTTCTTAAACAGGCTTCATTTTTGTTGGGAACTGGAGGGTGAGTGAACATTTTGAACTATTGGAAAAACCTGGAATGAATTTTCAACACAATTTGTATTGAAATTATGAAGTTTATCATTTACTTGAAGATTCTTGAAAGAATATATGAAATTTACTAATTATTCATGAATTACTGGTCCAATTTCGAAAAATAAACCAGTGTTGGATAAAGTATTGAAAAGGCCTATCAAACTAGGTATGACAAGAGCCTTCGTTATTCAAAAAAAATGCAGTTAGCATTCAGTCTTCAACAAGTGTCGGTCTGATCTTGAAACCGAGCCTCGTTCGAATGGTTAGAGGAGGGGACTTTTACGTCTGCATTCTGTATCTGGGCGTGAAGGAAACGAATAACTTGATAGTTTCATTTCGATTAATTTTTTGTTTTTATGGGGAATATTCAAGGCATGTTTCAATAACATGTTTTAGTTAGAGGGTGTTAACACACGTTGCATACAGTAAATCTGTTTGTCTCTTTTATGAGGTATGTTAAGTAGGGTTTATAAGGATTATAATGATAAAGTAATTGGACAGGTAAGACAGTTTTTGGATTATAACTTGAATTGCACGTTTTATGAAGTTAAGTTACAATGCAGAGTTTGTAACTCCCCAGCAATATATATTACATAAAAAAATGTTTTTTTCTTTCAAACAGTCCACGATAGCTCTAATGAAGTGTGACTCTAATGAAGTGTATCAACTGTATTTTGGCAAAATTATAATTCTGTGGTGCATAATAATTAGTTCCCAAAATGGAAGTCCTGAAAAACATAACTCTCATTTATTTTAAGGAATTTAATGTTTATTCACCATCAGAAATGCAATTGAGTCACTCTTAAGTCATCTGACGTTTTGTTTCCACTGTAATGAACAAGTTATTATGTTTTCTATACACGCCTGAAGAAGCTATTCTATAGCGAAACACTTATTGCGTTATTGTAAAACCCAATATATAACAACATCTGAAACACTTGACTCCCAAATGTGTATCGGAATTGGTAGGAGTTGCAGTGATTATCAGATTTTGTCAAAACATTGATGCCATCATTATTCGAATTTGGCTTGGTGGCAAATGCTACATTTTCTATTCCACTTGGTTTCAGAATGTGCTGGGATAATACATTAATTTTTTTTGTGAAGGGGGCATACTTCGGTAACTCTGATGGAATGTTTGAAAAGTGCATCACAGAAGTTTCACAAATTTTAGTGTCGTCAATTGGTAAGGTGATCTGCAAAGAATGAAGTACATACTTCTTAAAAAATTGTATTATTATGGAGTTAGAGGGGTATCTTTGTCACTAATAGAATCATACCTTTCAAATAGGTATCAGGCGGTTTCGTATAATGGTAATACATCAAATTTTGAACTTATTGATCACGGTGTTCCACAAGGTTCAATACTTGGGCCCCTGCTCTTTGTTATTTATGTGAATGACACATGTAATTTCATGTCTCCCTATTTATTTATTTATTTGCCACTGAGGTACAGTATGTACATATGGTATGTCAATAACTTAAAATTAATATATATATATATATATATGCAAATATACACACACACCCACATATATAAAAATACACATATATAGACAAGACACGTATATAAATTCCTTAGTAAAAATATGGAACAGGCGTCGAAGATAACACTAAATAATAGTAAGAGGAAAAAAATAAGTAAAATCATTGCTCAACGGAAATCATCTTCCAGGAATTCATCACACCTATAGTAACATTTTTGCAGCAGTAATTGCTTTACTCTACCATGAAACACTTTATCAGAGGTAATTTGTTTGATCTGCTCTGGTAATTTATTATACAGATTTATGGCATTATACAGAGGGGACTTTTTATATTTCGTTGACTTATGACTTGGAATACGCAAAACATCACCATGACGTGTATTGTAACTGTGCACCGTTGCGTTTGTTTCTAGTTTATGGATGTTAGATCTAGCAAATCCTATACATTTAAGAATGTATATGGAGGGAGCCGGTAATAATTTTTCCCTAACGAATACTGGTTTACAGCTGTCCCAGTGTTCAATGCTGAAAATTAGTCTAACAATGCACTTTTGTACTACGAATACTCTGATGAATTCATTACTGCAACCCCATGCTAAGGCCATTCTCTATGCAGATGATTCAACTTTGATATATAGCGATCAATCATCATCTAACATTCCACAAGTAATGAAAGAAGTTGAAAATCAAGCCAACACTTGGTTTCTAGCAAATAAATTGAAGTTGAATAGTGGCAAAACTCAAAATCTTGAGTTCAGTACTGTAGGTTCAACTAACAAAATTGTAAAATTACTTTGCATTACTCTCGACAGTACTTTATCTTGGCACCAACATACACATCTCGCAAATAAATTATCTAGTGCAATATTTATCCTTCGTCAACTGCAAAACTTCACAAGCGGTGGGACTCTAAAAATGACGTACTTTGCATTATTCCACTCACACATCAGCTACGGTGTTGTTCTTGTTAGAAAATATAATATTGGCACCCTCTTTCACATTTCTGCCAGGATTTCTCAGTTAAAAGACACCCTTTATTGAAAGTAACTTGAAGAAGCTCGTAGAACCCAATTAAATAAATTACCCAAAAATTTCAGCAATCCAGAAATCCAACATACCCTTTGAAGAAACTAATAAAACTAATTTAGTTTGTAATAATTGAAATTTAATTCATAACATTGTATAAAATCGTTAGGTCCAACTATATACTTCTAGTACAGTCTTATAATGACTACGATATTTTAAAAATTGTCACTGAAAATAATACAGTGGATGCAAATACTTCCAAAAATTACCATCTTCTGATTGATTCGACTTGGCAGAATTAACTTCAGACTGACTATTGTCCTCATTTTGTGTAAAGTCATCAGAACGTGTTTTTCGACGCCGCTCAACTCCAGGTGTCTGGTTCAAGCCATTTGTAGGTCTGAGAAACTCGCAATAATCCAACCTGTCTCGCTGCCTCTGCTCTTCTGCGGCCCTTTCTTCTTCAACCTTTGCAAGGCAGTCCTTAGAAAGACCCTCTGTCAAACAGTAATCTTTATAATGTTTCGTTGCGTCTCGTAACCGATCAAGAAAATCAGGCATTGCTCTTGTTGCTACCCAAGTGGTTACTGATGTGGGTACATTGACGCCGGGATTATCAAAGTACGTCAAACTGAACTCCAAACCAGGTTTTTTCATGTCCTCGTAAGGTTTTATGACCATGCATGACCAGTAGTCCTCTATTCTGTATTTATCCGGTCTTTTTGGAAAATTCGGGTGCTCTGTGCTTTTGCTCATTATGAAGAGGGTTTTGGATTCTTCATCCACTAGGTATCTTCTTTTGAAGACATAATCTCTATTCACAAATAGTCTCTGAAAATTACAATGAAAATAACAATAATTCATTTCCCAACAGCACTAAAAATATTAGTTTTCACTCTTAAATCTGCAGAGGAATTATCTCTCTCTCCCTTAAAAACCTTTTAATGTTGGATTGTTAGATCAATAATCAAATTCAACTCCACAATGGGGAATGTTCCTCAATTTGGGTTATTACAGCAAATGCAAGTTTGAACAAAATGAAGTTGAGTTTAATTCATGAGTTTTTCAAATTCACTTCGAAAAGTATTCAAATTGATGTTTCAAATGTTGGGTTTTAATTTTCAAAGGGATTTGTTTCTGATTCACATATTGGCAACAGCGCCTATATCAAGTTGAAATAATTTTATATGTACCTAGATATTCTACTTTAAAAAAGGAAAATTATCTTTATAAATCAACAATTAAGGCAAAATATAAATTATAGTTCAATACCAACTCCACAAGCCGCATAAACAACAGTTGTTTTGTTATTTATTTATATAGAGGAAGATAGGTTAGGTGCACAAAATGTCATATGTCACAGAATATCTCGGAACATAAGTAAACAGAACAGTACGCCTCTGAAATATGTCATCTTTGTTTGTCTCTTACAGGTAACAGATTCATTGTCCTTTATTAGCTGTAGCCGATGTTGCCAAATGGTGAAATAGAAACGAATCTCTTTAAATGTTGAATGCATTATTTCATTCCTCTTTTTTAAGTATTTAAATAATTTTTTAAAGAAAAAGGTTGAGATGATAAGTTTAAAATGCATTTTTTAGAGTTCTTTTATGAAAACTACTTGATTTTCGTCAGGAGGAACATTCCCCATTTGGTGACCTTCATATAATGAGGATATTGAAATGCTTGAATATGTTCAAAACAAGTTTTCAAGGGGCTCTGCATATAAACTGGGATATCATACTGGTGAATATAACTATAAAGTTACATTGGACATTCCTAACTTGAATATTATGGCTCATAGAAGATTAGAATCAGATCTTACACTAATTCACAACTTGTTGAACTTATAACTTTAAATGTGAATCCAAAGAGAGCAAGAAATACAGAAATCTTCAAAGTACCCTTTCATCAAACCAACTATGACCAGAATGAGCCTAGGTAGAATTTTGAGACTTGCAAACATTAACAATGTGTATTTAGAACTCTTTAAATCATTTGAAAAGACTGAAAAGATTGTACATCCAGCTGACAGTTATAGATTATTGTTACAGTACATATGTCTCTATTTTTCACAAACATCCTTTCTGGTAAGTAATTCAAGAAATATCATTCATAGGAAACTGTACAATAAAAAGTGTTGATATGAAATTCCATTTGAGTACACTAATGATATCTGAAGAAAAAACAACAACCAGTACATTTCCTATAATAAATTTGATAATGACACTGATATTTCAGACATTTGTTTGTATTAGGAGCAACTGTAAACAAACTGATTAAAATAACTTTTTCAATGTCAACTGATTCCACACAGATCAATCTGCCAAAATACGAGGTCTGTTTGAAAAATAAATATGGTTTAAAGAACTAAAAAAACACGATTTAAAGAAAATCGAAATATGGCGCTGTGTGCCATATTTTTTGTACATCAAGCACCCGTCGCTTTTTTCACAATAATACTTGTATTTTTCATTCTTTGTTTCAAGCTTATTAAAATAAATATTTTCAACTGTTTAGTTTTGCATGCTATAAAAGTGTGTTTTTTAGTCTTTTAGTCTCGTTCGTGATGAAGATGATGATTGATTAATCAATTAATTGATGGGTGTGGCCGTTACTACTTGTTAGGAAATCATAATGAAGAATAGAGAAATTGAACTTCTACGTTTTTTACCAATTTTATTTGTAACTAACGTTACTGCAGTTTCGTCCTATAAGGACATTTTCAAACTTATACAAGGACGACTGCAGTAACGTTAGTTACAAATAAAATTGGTGAAAAACATAGAAAGTTTCATTTCTTTTTTCTCCATTAATTAATCAATTGATTATAAAAAATTCAATTTTTCTGAGCATTTTTTAAAAATTATTTTCTTATAAATACAAGTATTCTACTTAAAAAACATACACTTATTCATTTGCATGCTATTTCCTGAGCTTTTCAATTAATTAAGTTCAATGAATTAAAAAAAAATAAAAAAAAAATATTGTTTTTGTCAGATTAAGCGAATCCCTCTAGATAATCGTCAGATTATGAGACAGCACGTCTAAAACATAAAGATGAACCATATATATCTTAATCTGACGCGCTTGAGTATTTCAAAGTGGCGAATTTTTTTTGCACATTATAATAATGGCCGCGAGTTTGCGTCAGATCGAAATCGTCAGATTATTGAACGAGACCTTGTTTTTGTTGCACTTAACACCCCCTTAGAAAATCTGACGCGCTCGATTAATTTTTTTTCTTTTCACGCTTAACCCTTACGTACAACCACCCACACCATGCAAACGATCAGATTAACATACCAACATTATTTGAAATACGTAGGACATTGATGCTATCAATATCTGACGCGCTCGAGTATGTTCATGCAACAGTATTTTTTTACATATTTAAAAATCTATAGCCACTTCCCCCACTGATGAAAAGGTATATATTATATACATTTTTTTCTTCTTATCATCTAAGCTTTGCAACCTAATATGTCTCAATGACGCTCGAGTAAATCCCCATTTTGTATCCTGGGCTCCCCTGCTATTAAGTTCATTTTGAATTTCAACCAATCAAATTTCAATTGATATCAATAATAAAGCATGCATAATATGAATGATATGGATACTTGCACACAAATAGATTGAGTACATTCAAAATCATACTAATCCAGCTAAAACATATGATGCAAAACAGGCTGACAGAATTGAAATTTACTTTACGGGAAAATAAGCGTTTTGGCTTTCTGAGTACTTCTTTCTCTTCAAAGAAAAAATGTGAATAACTTTAGAATTTTCTCAAAAACCAATTTCCCCTAAATATGTTGATAATCTATTGTCTTCAGCTAACGATGAATGAAAAATCTCAATTACAAAAAGTGGAAAATAGAGGGATGAGGGTAATTCTGGAATGTAATGAATTAAATTAACACCTATAGCTTTAATGCTGGACGCATTAAATTCACAATGGTGAATCTGGAGTATTTTAATGAATTCTTTATTTTGAATCAACAATATTTCCATTAGAAATAGAGTAGATTTCCATATAATTGAAACGAATCTGAAAATGGCCATGAATTCTCTGTTCTTCAAAGGTTTAGATTTCTATAATAGACTTCCACAAATGATAAAAAATGCAAGGACAGTAACAATGTTTAAACACAACTAATTTAATACATCAGAAATCACCCTAATGTTGTTTATTAGGCATACAATATTAATGATTCGTTTTATATTCAAGTGAACTCTTTTTTTTCTTAATTTCAAATACTTTATTGATGTAACTCTTCTATATGAAACTACATACTAATATGAGCGTCAATTTTATAGTTTTATATATATAAAGGTATTTTAAATCTTAAGTGAATGTATATTGAATAAGTTTAATGTTTTTTTATTAGTGTATACTAGGAATTCCTATTTTAATAAACTACTACTACTACCACTATTCAGATAGGGAGCAGATTCTCTGGAAGTTACATTGAGTTGCAGTTCCTGATGTACATGTTGTGTGTACTTTAGGAAAAACCGATGTTATGAAATGTATGCATTGATTTTGTCCACTTTGCAGCCTTGCCCATAGTCCAGATCCCGTTTGAAGGCTAATAGTATTTTAAAGGAAAGGTAGGTTCTTTTTGCAATGATTGTTTCGATAATTCAGACTGCTAATTGAAAATTACATCAAGAGAGACGTAAAGCTCCATAGGACTCCACATTGATGAAAATCTAAACTTTTATTCCCATGTCGACTAATTGTGTAAAAGACTAGCAGCAGGATGTCATGCAGTGAGAGTTGTTGCAAGAGAGTTAGATACTGTTAGTACAAGAACGTTTTATTTTGCACAAATTGAGTCACATTTACGTTATGGAATTTGTTTCTGGGGAAATTGTGCACAATTTCATTTCAATATGGTATTCTCTCTGCAGAAAAGATCCATCAAATATTTATGCAAGGATTCATGCTGACCCTTATTTGTGAAGCAAAAAATTCTGACCTTAGTATGTCTTTTTATTTTGGAAACAGTGTCTTATCCACAAAAAATATAAAAATCATTTTAACACCACCTCAACTTATAGTACATGTCAGTCTCACTTCATTTCCCTTCCAACACCTACTCTAGCCCTTGCCCTTAGTTTAGCACGAAAGTTGTTTGATACATAATGAAAAAAATTCAGAAAAAAGTAAAAGAATTCCTTGTTATGAGGCCCTATTATAGTGTGGACAAATCCTAACAAGGCAAATCCTAACAAGGTAATTGGTACGTAGCTTCGTGTAAACAAGTTATTGAAATCAACACAAAATGGTTATCAATGTTCCTTACGTAGCATTATATATTTACATTTACTCAATACTCATAATTGTATATGTTCAGCTGGGCCTAATATTGTTCTGTCCATATACTCTGCTTTTGTGTCCAAGTATTATTTTATATCTTGTATTTGTTAATTTAATGTCACATATACACGTTTTACTTCACTAGACTCTGCCAATGAGATGTTCAAGTCTTGGGTAATAAAGCATATTTTTATTGATTTATATCCTCAGAAACAGAAGGAATGGGTACAATCTCAATACATACAGATATTTCATCAAGCCAGGTTAAGTTGAAGGACCACCCTAAAATGATATTTTGACTTCTAGAGGATATAGGAGTGAATAATTTTCTCAGTCCACCTATTACTGGATACAAAATCGTTGATTATTCTGATTATTGCATTGATTTTTTGACAAGGCTTGAAGTTAAGGAAAAGAGTAACATTCTGCAAACTTTTGCAGAATATGGTGTCAATTCTATGCTTCTGAGCTAGCATAGAATTGACTGTTGAACTTCAATAGAATAGAGCTGTTAGGCCGTCTAGGTTAACAGTTTCGAAAGCCTTCGACATATCCAACAGTGTGATACTTACCTAGACACTACTACTGTTTTGATTGATTCAAATGTAAAAATATGCTGTTCGTCAACAAAGACTTGTAGTTGGGAGAGTAAGAGTCTCCAAGAGATTTAGAGGGGGACAAATGTTAGACATATCGGCGGGGAAAACACCCCAGTTGTGTGAAACATTATTTTCTTTGATATCTGTGTTTCAACCAATCAGATTAACATTAGTTAGGTTTCATATTCACCATTTTATGTCAAGATAAGAATATTTGCTCACCAAGAAGGCAAAAAATATATTCTATTGGCAGCATAATTAAATATAAGAAGCTGTTGAGTTTACTTACTGGCCATAGCATTTCCCAATAGATTATATCACTATTAGAACTAGGAGTAGGGTCTGTTTCTGCCACTTCTAAAGCAACGGCGGTATTATCCCATTTTCGGCGATAGTCAGTATCAATTTGTACGTTCAAAAAGTCTTCTGCAGATACATCATTGTACGAACCGAATACTTTGTACTCAAAATGGCCTGAAGGATGAAGCCTCCTCCAAATAATTAGATCTTGTTTTTCGACAAAAGGAACCCAGTCATCATATGTCTTCGTTGAAAGTTTACCACTGGTGCCGCATTTGCAAATATTTGTATTTATCTCGGATCTTTGCGTAGGGTCGCAAGCTAAACATATCGTATTTTCCTTCAGTTTCATGATGTAATCAAATTCCTTCACATGCTCTTTAATTTCTTGTTCGGGTATTCTCTGTTCATCCCAATTGATTACAGAAATGCCGACTGCGCCAAGGGCAAATTCTTTTCCTTTTTTTGTGAGACTTTGTTTCAATTTCTTGATGAAATCTTTTAATGCTGTCTCCTCCCACCATTTCGAATATAAACTGAACATTTGGTGACATCTTCTCAACCTATGAGCGACTACACATTCACAATGATGAGCCCATACTTTGAAGACACTGTTTCTTTGACTCCTGGATGGCATCGGGGGTTCCAGAAATAATTTGAAGCCATTCCTCAAGAAATCTTTAACTCGCTTGTTAACTTTCTTGACGTTTTTGAATTCTTTTAATTGTTGACGAATCATGAGACTGACTAGAAAAATGGGCTAAGCCTTCCTGGTTTAGAGGGAATGCTAACTTTGAGGTTATGATATAAGATGATGACACAATCAATTGGCCCTCCACAAAATAGTTTCCTTGAATTGAAAGTGATGAGTGATATTACCTTTACTGATGTTTATTTATACAAATTAGTGTACGAAAATGATTCGAACATGGCTGGATGATGCACTGAAATTTTGACAGTAATGCATGTACTGTTTTGAAATAAATGTACAAAAAAACAAAAGCACTTATGGAAATAATTGATCATATGGACTAAGTATTAAAGAGAGAACATTGTACAATAACCACAAAAGGATAGAGAGATCTACGTCACTTATGATGTGAAAATTTTGGGTTGCATATTATAAAATTTTGGGATTCTGATACATGATTTTTAGCATATTACATTAACAATATTTTTTTAAAGACATTTTTGTGTTTTTAGTTTTCTCGAATTGTTTGGGTAACAGAATTGTGGAAAAACGTGTATTACAGTGTTTCTGTAATCTGTGTTCCCGTTCGAAAGTACAAATGGAACAAATGACTCAAATAGCCTCTGTTATAAATGATATATCAAACTCAAATACTATATACCATCTATAGCGTGTAGAGATTTGATGGTCCCAGCAGGTGTCATTTTGTAATTTGCAGTTGGGTACACTGTTAATATATTCTGTGTACGATCGACTTATCGTAATAGTGTTCATATATAATTTTTTTGGACGTTGGTGTAGTGATACAACTATTAGGAAGACGAGAAATCAGGTGTGCTATTTCTGGTAATATTTCATTCCGTAGTTTATTCCTAACACAGGTTATTTTCGTGTACTGTATCATAAGGTAAGTCAAATTGACAATCATGAATAGTGGCGATTATCCGCCGCTGAAACAAAAACTTTTTAAATTTATAGTGAAAACCTAATAAGAGACATCGCTGATGAGGAGGTTGAAAGAGTGTCATTTATTAGTTCCTGTAATGTAACAAATACTAAAATGAATATGACTCTTGTTGGGGAAGGGTTTTCAGGATATTGATATGTTAATATTAGTGTTGTTAACATTGAGTTAACATATAGGTTAACATTAGTGTTGTTAACATTGAGTTAACATATAGATATGTTAACATTAGTGTTGTCAAGTCAAAATTGTTTTGCGCAGGGTAAATGTCAAAAATGCGCAAAATCCGATCGAAACGCGCGAAACTCAAATTCATTGAAAAATAAGTACATACGTGAATCAAGACCAAAAAACTCTGTGGTTGGAAATTGAAGAGGAAACAAATATATTTCGTGAAATATAAAGATCAGATTACTAGTAGGAAAATTGTTTCCTGCCTCAGTATGAAAGTGACTCACCCTATATTCGATAAGTAAGCTAGGCATTCTTACTACCTGCCTGCAAATATAAACGCTTAATGTTCTTGAAAAATCTTTAATGCTTTCGGCAACCTTTACCAAAATAGCATTGTTGGGCTTCCACCCTCAAAACACAAAATGTCTAAGATCTCTATGCTTTGTTACATGTAATTTGAACACAGGTAATTCCCTAGGTAACATTTTTACTTCTGGTTTTAGATTGTACTACAAAAGAGGTGCTTTTTGGAACATCAGATTGAAATCATTTGTCAAACCTAATACCATGACACGAACTCAAGATACATCCTTATAAAAGAATTATAGTATTTAGCATATCATTCATCGTTTATATAAGTTACCTTCATCAATACTGATGAAATAATGTTTCAAGACATGATAAGTATATGAGTTGTTTGACTCAATCACCTAGTTTTACTTGGTGAGTTCATTTTGTAAAGGTCTGTTTGGAAAATTATCTAAAAGTCTTTAGAAGCTTCTTGCATTTCAGTATTGCAACTAAAATACACTTCAATATTTCTCATTAGACTTCAGTTGATCTAGGAAGTTTCAAACATATGGAGTTGGAAGGTGTATAAAGTAACAAGAACATTTGATGTATACAATATATAGATTTTTTTTCCAATAAAGTCATCAAGGAGTGATCTCCGAGCATAACATTGGTGGTGTAACTTGGAAATCCTACAAAGTTATGTAAAGATGAATTTACTTTTTTCAAAATTTTCAATCATACAGTTACAAGAACTATTTTCATCACTTTATTTAGTTCTAAAGTTTAAAAAAACTTAGTTTTTATGGTGAGCTCCTCACAAATCACTATAACAATAGCACAGTGCTTGGTAGTACTATCCTTTCATAAACTGCCATTAAACGCACAGGTTCGGAGAGTGTGTCTTTTGAATTTGAAAGATATTTTTCACAATACTAGTGGGTTTGGTATGGTGAACAGATTTTTTTTTAGCAAACTTAAATAACATTTATTTTTAATTTTCACCTCTGCAATTGGTTTTAATACTCCGATTCTTCCACTACTTCCCAGCGCTTATTGTTTCTGATTCGCTGTCAGTGTCTACTCTTGCTTTTTTAAAGTTCACTCATTAATATTTGCAATAAAAATGAGATGTATTCACCATTACTAGAAATTCTCTAGAATATAATTTTTAAATAAGACATAATGATTCAGATATTTATAATCTCAACAAATTATCTATTTTATGATAGAAAAAAAATACAAAAATATAAAATGTATCAAATAAAAACAATACTCATTTCTCTGGTTAGGTTTTTCTTAATTTCCTCTCATCTCCACTCATTTGTCATTTTGATTATTTATCAAATATCATGGAACGATCAAGCACAGATCAATTGTGAACCTATGACTGGGCACAGAACATAAAACAACAAAAGATGAATTTGGTAAATATCCATGAAACCCAATTTGCTTTCGTTTTGTTAAAATCTCTCGACGCGAGAACTGTTGATATATGTAACAAGAATCGTTTCCAAATGTAAACATTGGCGTTCACTTAGCGCGTCTGTGAAAGGAATGCCAAATTAATTTGGATCTCTTTATTTTAATAATAGTGCCGTAGATCATTAAAGTATTTCGCATAGGGAGAATTCCAAGTGATTACACCACGGTGTTTCTATCCATCTTGGTTTTGGTCTATTCGTTTCGATTGTTTGTTTACACAAACAAGTGTGGAGTGTAATACTGAATCGTATTGGGTCTGACACACGAGGCTTTGGTGAAGCAAAGTGGCAGTGTGAGAGTTGAGCAGAAAATGTACAAAAACTTGCGCAAAAAATGCGCGAAGATAATGAAAATGCGATCTGGTAACAGTCTGGTTTGCCACTTTGGTTATCACGCAATCAAGTAATAACCTTGAAGGTCAAAAAAATGCAATTGGCCCATATGCTGTTAATGTATCAATACTTTATATTCCTTAAACTTTTTTACAAGCATGGGTCAGTTTGAGGAGTGCCAGATGATGACAGTACTACCAACTGTCGAAAGCGCTCGCAGATAATTAATTTCAATTTAAGAGCCACCGGTAGACAGCTGTTTCAGCCTATTGGGCATCGTCAGTACCGGGCAGGCGGTCCTCGATTGAATACAAAATGTGAAAAACCATGTACTTTCTTGGTTTTTCACAATTTGTCACTTTTTTTCACACTTTGTTGTGAAATTGGCCGCGATGGTAGTGCGCCCGACTCACGATCGGAAGATCGTGGGTTCGATTCCCGCCTCGACCAGATATTTTTCTCGAGAGAATTTATCTGGTTGAAGCGGGGATGATTTTGCAACCGTGTTAGGAATCACACGTTAAAAGGTAAGACCTCGTTAGTCCTTAGCTCGCACAAGTTTCTCAACTTCTGAGATTTGTCGTTCGTATGGGGGTGACAGCTGATTAACGGAAAAACAGATTTTAAACAAAAAGTGTTGATGAGTATTAACCTTTCAATGGGCGCACGCGGAATGTCAGTCCGCACACACATACTATCGTTTGTATTTTTGTTAAACTTGACAAGTAGGCTTCCTGGCTCCCTCTAGCTTCTCAACTCATTACATATGACTCTAGTACGCCGCGACAGCTCAAAGCAATAACACGTGAATAAGATAGGTCCTTGAGGAATTTGAATCCGCGCGCGCCCTTGCACGTAATTTTTTTGTTTTATTACCTTGTGTATGAAAAGGTAAGTTTAAATCAGTTGTTTATAGGTAAATAGATCTATTTATACTTCTCTATGTTTCTCATTATTATCAAAATAATTTTCTAATAGCGTAAGTGAAAAATAAAATATTAGCGGAACGTCATTCCGCGCGCGCCTCATTAGGTTTCTTTTTACAATCTACACTTTGTTTCAGATACAATGTCCTATAATTATGAACGCGAGCTGGAGATCCTCGAAAGGATGATGCTTGAAGGCCTCTCAGACAATGAAAATGAAGAGGAAGAATTAGACGATGAGGTGGACCTCAACGAAATTGATCATGAGGAAGAAAGAAGCGATAGAGATGAAGGAGACACCTTCAGCTCGGTAGAAGTATCAGGACAAGAAGATGAAAGGAGGAATGAACCAGTCTATACAGGAAAAGATGGCACGAGGTGGAATGGGTTGCCGTGTTCTAATAAACGAAAAAGATCAAAGCGCGCCAATTTATTGAAACAATTACCATGACCAAAGCAAGCTACTAGAGAACTGAAGACTGCTATAGAAATTTGGATTTTTTTTTTCAATGCTGAAATGCTGCAGATTATTGTAGAATATATACATTGAATTCCTTTCTGATTCCTACACTCGACAGATAGATCTTAGACCTACTAATATACATGAAATTCGAGCTCTCATCGGACTCTTATATATTTCTGGAAAATACAAAGCAAATCATCTAAATTTAGATGATTTATGGATGAGCAACGGTAAGGGCATTGAGATTTTCAGACTAACAATGTCAATCAAACGTTTCAAGTTCCTTCTAAGATGTCTCAGACTTGATGACAAGGACAGTCGTGAAGAAAGGAAGCGTTTTGATAAACTAGCAGCTATACGTCAATTTTTTGACATGTTTGTGAAAAATTGTAAAGATGGATATAATTTATCTGCGTTTACTACCATTGACGAAAAATTGGAAGCCTTCAGAGGAAAGTGCCCGTTTCGTCAATACATACCGAGTAAGCCGAATAAATACAGTATAAAATATTTGCTTTATGTGACGCAAAAATGTTTTATACGGCCAACATGGAAGTATAATATGTTGGACGTCAACCAGAGGGGCAATTTTTCGTAGAGAATTCAAGGCAGTTCATTGTTGAGAGACTAAGCCAGCCAATTCATAATTCGGGACGGAACATCACGATGGATAACTGGTTCATGAGTATACCATTAGTTGACAGGTTTATCACAAATTACGGGCCAACTGTTGTGGGAACTTTAAAAAAAAAAATTGAGAATTACCTCCCGAATTGCTTCACGTAAATCGTCCCGAAAAATCCACTATTTTTGCCTTCAGAGAAAACTGACACAATATAACAAGACCAAAGGAGGAGTTGATGTTGTAGACAAGTTATGCGCAACATACAATTGTGCCAGATCAACACGGATATGGCCGATGGTGATTTTTTACGCTTGTCTAAACGTAGGTGGTATAAACTGTCAAGCAATTCACCATGCAAAAGATTTTTTTGTAAAAAGTGTCATAAATTTATGTGCTTAGAGCACGCTACTTGTATGTGTTCTACTTGTTTAGGTTAATACTAAGTGATCAACATTATTTTTATACTGTTTTGTGAAATAATCTCTTTTGTTTCCATTTTTGATTTTTTTGTATTATTTTTTGCATCTGTTAAAGCTTTTATATTTGTTATAAAATGTGTTTTATTCAAGTACATATCACAATTTACTTAAAACCTATCGAATATCCTAAAACGCGCCTCTTTATGTAATTTTCAACATGCGCCCACTGAAAGGTTAAAAAAATATGTTCGTCCCGTTATCTTTTGTGTACCCTTTAACGAAAAACCATTTATCTTATCTCGGTGTATACGTATACGGATATATACGTAACAAACCGAATAAAAACCTCAAAAACCGAGATTTGTCATTATTGCTTTTATCTTATCAAATTATTACATTAATCTTTTGACTCCAATAAGTCAATCCGAGATTTTAAACCGAATAAAAATCCTCAAAAACCGAGATTTTAAAAAGTTATATCTAAAATTCCATTACATTCGAAAGTGTCATATTGAGAAACGAATTTTCAGAATGACGACGCAACCAAGAATCGTCATTATAGGTGCTGGTGCCTCAGGAATAGCTGCCGCTACTCGCTTGCTAGAAAATGGATTCAACGAAATCACTCTTCTGGAAGCAGAAGATCGCATAGGCGGAAGAGTAAATTCCGTGGAGTTTGGGGGAAGTATGGTGGACTTGGGAGGCCAATGGGTCCACGGAGAGGAAGGAAACATCGTTTACCAAATGGTGAAAGATTTGGATCTGCTGAGTCCTTCTCATAATACATACGATGATAATACTTACTTTCTGTCTGATGGTACTGTAGTAGATAAAAATACCACTGACAAATTATTCGAAATTTGCTCGAGAGTGATGGATGACGTTGATGATGCGCTGAAGTATCCTGGAACGTTTGGAAAATATTTTATAAAGAGGTGAGTGGTTTTCCAGGGATGTTATTTTTCTCGTTATGTGAATGTTGTCGAGAGGCACCTTCTAACTGAAATACCATTTACAGTTCAATATACGGAGGTAAATTTTAATTTTTCTCTAAATATATTTATTTATTCATCAATTTATATTTCGTCCCCTTCGAAGTACTCCTCTTCAGATATAATACAAAAATATTTTTTCAGAAATCTTCAACACCGTGTGTATCGGAGAATCCATCTCTATTCCTAAATTGTGTTGACCAGTGTAATGCAACATTCAGCTACATACCTGAATAGTGTTAACTACGCTATTTTCGTTCAAGATGGCTGGAGGTATTGAACCGGTAGTTCAAATATTGGCCACCGATGGGGCTCGCTACACACATTTAATGTTATTTCAGTTAGAGGCTTGACATAATCAGTCATCAATCAGTTAATCAGTCTCCATTCAGTCGAGGAATCGGCGAGTTTTAGATTATGCTGAAACTCACGAAAATATTTTAGTCAGGGAAGCTATAGATTACGCTGTAGACGACCCCTCCCGATATAGAAGGCCCCGACACTCTGTCGAATGAGGCCCCTATGTCCTCCGTTAACAGATGAATAATATCTTCATCTATCTCACCCCAGCCAGGTAGGGGTATAACGCGAAGGGCGGTATGGATGTCTAAGGACTTTCATGCCACCATCAAACATCAGTTGTGACCCATTTGTCTTTCTGACAAACTTCAGTTAAAAGGGGAAGGAGGCCAGGCTTCAAACTGAATAAAATCAAGATGGATTACGTCGTTAATCAGTCGAACTCCACGGAGTTACAGGCTCTAAGGCTGGTTGAAAACACCATCCGCGAGTTGAACACTAATAAAAAAGTACATATTGTCCTATTGACATCTCGTAGGCCTTCGACCGTGTTTGGCACGAAGGTCTTCTGCATAAATTGAACGCTTTCGACCTACCTCGGGTCCTTCCTGAAAGACAGGACATTTCAGGTTAGAGTAGAGGGATCTCTGTCTGACAACAGAGAGATCCTTGCTGGAGTGCCACAGGGGGGCGTGCTCTCTCCGACGTTGTACTCACTTTACACCAGTTACCTTCCGAGGCCCGAGCGTGTGAAGATATCTCTCTACGCCGATGACACTGCTCTCCTCTCATCTTCCCTGGGTCGGGAGCTCGGTGTCGTCTATATGCAACGTGCATTGGACGACCTCGAGCGCTGGTACCTTGATTGGAAGATCTGAGTGAACCCGGATAAGACTCAGGCAATAACCATGGTAAGACTGAAATCTTTTCCGGCCAGAAAAGTGAGAATCTCTGGAAGGGTGATTAACTGGCAAGCGCGGGTAAAGTACCTCGGCCTTCTAATAGATCGTAGGCTCACTTGGAACCCGCACATAATGTGCGTCAAATCTAAGATCGAGGGACGGATAGCACGTCTGTACCCTCTGATAAACAGAAAATAAAAAATGAGTCTTAAAAACAAAATTACCATCTACAATACGATGTTCAAGTCTGTCATCATGTATGCTTCAGGCGTCTGGGGACAAGCGGCTCCGTCCAACATTTCCATTCTGGAAAGGTTACAAAACAAGCTAATAAGGATGATTGTAAATGCTCCTTGGTTCGTGCGGAATGAAGCCATCCGCAGAGATTTGCAGCTGCCTTCCATTCGGCAGTCCATCCAGTCGAGAAATCAGAGAGTTTTTGATGGTGCAGAAACTCATTAGTCAGGGAAAATATGGATTATACTATAGATGACCCCTCCCGATATAGAAGGCCCCGACACTCTGTCGAATGAGGCCCCTATATCTTCCGATGAAAGATGAACAACGTTTTCATCCAATTCACCCCAGCCAGACAGGGGTACACCGTGAAGGACGGTACTGATGTCTGAGGACATTCATGCCGCCATACCATTTAACACCCATATCAGTTATGACCTGTTTGTCCTTCTGGCAAACATCAGTTCAAAGGGTAAGGGAGCCAGGCTCCAACCTGACTAAATTGAAGATGGATTTCGAGTTAATCAGTCGAAAGGGTAGGGGAGCTGGACTCCAAACCTGAACGAATTGAAGATGACCTTCTGAGGCTTGACATATCGGGATGAGAATAATCCCTACATTACTTGTCTTTGATAACATTCTTCTGTCTCATGTGTGCTGAAATGGACACGTTTAGGAATGTGATATTTGGTCGAAGTCGTCAACAACAACTAACAGTTGACGTTATTTGACAATTTGTTTTCAAGGCATTCGATGTAGATGTACGATTATGTGTTTCTCAACTACCGATAAAAACATTTGACGTTCAGTCATTACATTATTGACGATATTTTTCATAAACAAAAAGTCAAGATGAATTTTTTGGGGGTTATTTTATTTTCTATTAGAAAAAAATTCAATACAGGGGATTCGATTCGAAATGTCAATTTTTTTTAGAACTCGAAAACACGATACACGATTGTTTTTTATTATTTCTCGAGTCTGCATGTGTGTAATAAATTGTAGTGGTTCTGAAATTCAAGCCATTTTGTTTCTTCAACAGTAACAAAGTTTACCAATGGTGGTCAGGTTAGGTCCAAAGTGAGTGGGTCTATTCGACCCTCTACCGCAACCCGCAAGAGTTTATTGTGGCTTACACCTATGCACACTCGACCAAATAAACCCAGCTTTTCAACGAAGCTGATTAGTTTGTATGGTGAGTGATCTTTCAGGTCAGATGGTGAGAGTACGGCTCTGCAGAACTCTAAAAACCTGATTCCGTCTCCAGCGGGGCAGGCACAAAGTATATGCTCTGATGTTTCATCGTTAATGAGGTAGTCGAAGAGTCGAGGTGCAAGATTCCCACTTCGATACCCGCGAAAACCTTCCCGTATGATGGTTTTTGCACGTTAGCTACACCTGACGATGCCTTAGATTCAACCGTGCAGGGTTTTTTCGCCTCTGGTTTTGGTGAATCATCACTTGAGCGCAAACGTTTGCTAACCTGCTCATGGGGGTTTGTTCCTCCACCTGAGACAGATTCTGCGTACGCCGCTCAAGAATTTGGTGCAAGGCGGTTTAATAAGGTACCCCGCTCTTGAGGAGACGACTCAGTCGTCTCCTCAAGAGTTGGAAAGTTGAGAAGCTCTCGCTCCTGATCTAAATTTACAGGGAGGTCATCTGGAGTCTTAAGCTCGACATCCATCTCCTCTGCAGACTCAGCATCAGAAAGAATTTTTAAGTTTTCTCTGTCCATAAAAGTTCCACGAGTAGCTAGGGAAAGAAGGTCACTCACGGCAGAGCTCCGCATTACCGTTACAAGGCGATGCTACGACGAGAGGGCGCCCGGTATCTCGAAGGTTCCGTAGAGACAGCTGATAGGCTCGGTGTCGTTCATCCTCTTGGCACGGATACACACACCTTGGGATTAAGCCATCGTTTGGATGCCATTCAGTTAGGTAATAACAGAACCACAAGTGATTATGTCATTCCCGTATCCAGCGGGGCTACGTGGAAGCAGGCATCCGATGGCCGGTTTGCTCAACTCCCACATCCCAAGCCAATGCACTCACTAAAAACAGCATGCGCAGTGGTTTAGGCAGTGAAATATGATCAAGGACAGCCAACCCGCCTACCAAAGGTGGACACTCAAATTAGATAGCACCACTGTATAAAAAAGTGATCGAATTCGCTGGAAGCCTCAACATTCGAGGCTTTCCGTAGGAATTTATTTTGGGCTCAGTAATTTTTTTAAATATAACCTTTGCTCAAGTGTTTTACTAACATCGTTTCAAAACACACATTTTCATTGCAGGTATAATGAATTGGTTTTAGAAGAATTCGGCAATAATAAAGACATTTTTAAGATTGCCAAGTTACTAGAAGAATGGTTCCACAAATTTTTTACTTGTTTGGATTCATGCAAAACGTGGTACGACATATCCACGCGAGGAGCCATGATGATGTTCAAACCCTGTGAAGGTGATCAGCAACTCAATTGGAGACAAAGAGGGTTCCACACAATTTTAGATGTTTTGATGGTAAGGAATCTCTTCAGTTGTAGAAAGGAATAGTTCTACCCCAATACAAAGGACAGAAAAAAAACTTTATAGCACGGACTAGACGTTGAGGTAGATTTCTCATTCTTGCTACTTTTGTCCCTCCTTGGGGGCCGTGTACAATGCTCGTTTATCTATTTCCAACATATGGTCTAAGAGCCTTAATTATTTCATAAAAGCTGAAAGTTTGTCAACATACTATGTAGTTTGGATCATCGTGGCTTTGGCAGGTAGCAAAGGCGAGAGAACCCCTTGCTGAATAACCCCAAACTTTAATAAATAGTATTTTCTCAATGTCAACAGCTAGTCCAATCTATAACCTAACCTACGAAGTTGAAGAGAAAAGTAGACTTTACGCTGTAAATTTTTGAAAATTTCATTGTCAAAAACCTAATCTAACCTATAACCTTGGGTGTGCATGCAGTCATATAGCATGAACAACCTTTTTCGAAATTGAACTGAATTTGAACTTTGTTTGTAACAATGTGTGGTGAAATTGGCTGATTCTTGATGAAAATCTATAACTTGTACAAGTACCACTTCATTACGAGATTTTCACTGGACACTTTACAAAAATGCACCACGTGTTTCGCTATATAATAGCTCCCTGAAGCGTTTCCATACTCAAAACAATTGGGGGACCTATTGTATAGCAAAACTCGTGTTCATACTGGAAACGTTTGAGGAAGTTATTGTTAAGAGAAACACGTATTCATACTAAAAACGCTCGAGAAAGCTATTGTATAGTGAAACACGTATTCATACTCAAAACGCTTGAGGATGTTATTATATAGCGAAACACGTGTTTATATAAAAAACGTCTGAGGAAGCTTCTGTATAGCAAAACACGTATTCATACTCAAAACTCTTGAGAAAAATATTGTATAGCGAAACACGTACTTATACTCAAAACGCTTGAGGAAGTTATTGTTCAGAGAAATACATAGAAAGCTATTGCATAGCGAAACACGTAATCATACCAAAAACGCTTCAGAGAGCTATTGTATAGCGAAACACGTGTTTATATTCAAAACGCTTGAGGAAGTTATTATATAGCGAAACACGTGTTTTAATAAAAAACGTTTGAGGAAGCTTCTGTATAGCAAAAGACGTATTTATACTGGAAACTCTTGAGGAAACTATTGTATAGCGAAACACGTATTCATACTCAAAACGCTTGAGGAAGTTATTATATAGCGAAACACGTGTTTTAATAAAAAACGTTTGAGGAAGCTTCTGTATAGCAAAAGACGTATTTATACTCGAAACTCTTGAGGAAACTATTGTATAGCGATACACGTATTCATACTTGAAACGCTTGAGGAAGTTATTGTATAACAAAACACGTGTTCGTATTCGAATCGCTTGAGGGAGCTACTGTAAAGCAAAACACGTGTTCATGGTCAAAATGTTTGAGGAAGTTATTGTATAGCGAAACACGTGCTCATAGTCAAAACTCTTGTGGAATCTACTGTATAGCAAAACACGTAACAAAAACGCTTGAGAAAGCTAGTGTACAGTAAAACACGTGTTCACACTCAAAACGCTTGCGAAAGCTTTTATATAGCGAATCACTTGTTGAGGTTTTGTGAACTTAAATGTTTAAAATAATTCATGTTAATGGCCAGTGGAAGGAATATTCTGGTTTTTCTTAACAATAACGACAAAATGAGTCACAAAAAAATTGAGGAAATCCCAAAAAAGTTTTCATCGCTTTGTATATCAGAACCTACGTGGTGACATTTCAATTTAAAAACCACATTATATCAGTAAAAAACGTATGAAACTCCATTCGGTATTTTTTGAGTTTAGTTTTCTCAAGAGTTGTGAGTATAAGCACATCTCAAGAAAACATACCATAACTATTGCGAGTAGCCATGTGCTTTTCATTTATACTTTTATTTTTCGGAAGTACTTGTTTATTCAGACTGATAGGTGAGGATTACCAACATATTCTTTAATAATGAGGTTAGTTCAAGTTTTGGATGGTTGTGACATTCATACCAGAGAAAATCTAAGATTTTGATGGAGCCACAATATAACAAACTTGTATAATTGAGTATGGCATAAACTTAGGAGTATTATATGCATTCCTCTGGATTTCGTTTATACACTCATTGAGAAAAACAAAAGTGTACTGGAATTTACGTTTTCCTAAATATTTTTCGGGGATGCATGTATTGGCAAGCATCCATATCATTTTTGAAGCAATAATCAATCTCAAAATCCAATTTTGTGGTCTTCTCGATCCAATTGTCTTTCCAAATACTATGTGATCCATTCAGAATGCCTGTGAAGCGTCAAAGGAGAATTGTGGCAAGATCCAACTTTGAATTCATTCTCATCCCAAATTCAATAAACTAATCCGATCTAACCAAAGGTCAAAGGTGAAAGGTAACGCACTGAATCCAATCAAGACTAACCGATCGTTATTAATTGATTTACAGAAAAAGTATCCCGATCCGAGCAAGCAGCTACCAATCGAAGGTAAAATACTCCTGAGGAAAGAAGTAGCCAAAATAATCTGGGATGACATCGACAACGATGAAGGCGCAGCGACAGTTCTCTGTGCAGACGGATCTTCTTTCCACGCAGATCACGTCTTGGTCACAGTATCGGTCGGAGTACTGAAGAAGTTCCACAGGGACTGGTTCGTCCCCCAGTTGCCACCTTTCAAAGTGAATTCCATCGAGCACATCGCTTTGGGCACCGTTAACAAGATTTTGCTGAGATTTTCGACGAGATGGTGGCCAGAGGACTTGAAGGGGTTCAGCTTGCTGTGGACCGAGGACGACAAACTAAATATTCCTGACCATTTCACTCCAAAGGACGAAAAAGGGAGGTCATGGTTAGAGGACGTGTTTGGCTTCTACGTCATTGATAGTCATCCGAGAGTTCTGCTGGGATGGGTAGTGGGGCCGACGGCAGCTGAAGTTGAATTACTTTCGGAAGAAGAGGTCACTAGTGGGTGCTTCTTTCTGTTGAGGAAGTTTGCTGGTCGCCAATATGACATTCCTGAACCTGAAGCTGTTTTGAGGTGAGTGATGGTAGTAGCAATTGGTATAGCAACGCCTGTAACAAATATATCATATTCATATATGATATAGTGGAATTTCATGTCAAGTTCTTGTACATTTTTTCCATATAGTAGTACATCTTTCTGTACGAATGATATCCCCCCATACGAAAATGTCATCTATGGGACAGAAGGAAGACTCAATCCTGGAATATCAGAGAGATTAGCGAGGCTCTCCAAGACGATCAGTTACAAAGTCAAGCTTCGGCATCGATTGCCGAAATAGATTCGTTCTCTGTCATAAACTGCAAGGCAGCTTGATGGACTTGTGATACAATACCAGACAGCGCTGGTTCGATTCACCAGGTCACAGTAGTGATGTTGGGCTGAACCACCAAACTGTCATAAAAAGGACGATCCTGAAAGTAGTATCATTATATATTGAGATAGAACAATCAGGAATCACGAATAACGAAAAAGATTATGCCAGAGACTTATCATCAACTGAATATGTGGATCCTGAATCAGATGGGAGGGTTACCGAAATCTCCCATTGGACAGTAACTCAGGAACTAGGTCAGGAATAAACATGAAGAGTACAGAGACAATACTCCTATTTATGAGAGAACCTACGAGCAAACCTTTGTGAAAATATATTCCAGGAAAATTACTGAAACTCTTCGACAGTGGAACAATGATCGACTCAGAATAATCACAGAGCTAGTGACTGCATCCATCTGGTGGGTACCTGAGCAAAATAGGGCAGCAGTGTCACTATTTTTATTCGGATTTGAACGCCGTCGATTTTTGTGATTTCTTCCTGACGTTTCGCTGAAGCGAGTGGCTAGCTTCTTCAGAGGTTCTTTCATCTTGAGGTCATCTCCGATGACTGGCTATTCCGACTGCACGAAGCTATATTCAAGAATTTATCTTACGAAAACACAATATAAAATCTTTCTTGTTTTAATTGAAGAATCAGTAGAAATTCTCAACACAAAACCCAGCATTTTACGATTTTTTGCCACAATTTCTGATACTTGAAGATTAAAATTAATTTCGCTATCAAATTCAACTCCCAGATCGCGAATAAATGTTCCTCTTCTAAGAGCTATATTATTCAATGTATATTCAAAGAATATTGGACTTCTAATTTTAAGTAGAAGTAATGATTTGACACTTTTCAATGTTTAGCTCTAACCAAATTATTTCTACATCACATGGAAAAGGCTTCGAGATCTTTTTGAACTAATTCAGCATCTTCCCGGCAAGTAACTGCTCGATAAAGTTTGAGATCATCAGCAAACATAAGAAATTCTGAATATTACAAACTCTATGTCCGATACAAACAAGTTGAACAGCAGTGGGCCCATATGGGATCCCTGCGGTTCCCCTGATGGAACCTGAATGGGCGTAGATGTTGTATCTCCGTATTTTACAGACAGAGTTCTACCAGTTAAGAAGCTACTTGCAAAACATCTCGCCTATACCAAGCGCTTGAATTTTAGATATAAGTAGGTAGTAGGCCGTGGTTGACTCTATCAAGGGGTTTGGAAAAGTCAGTATTGACTGAGTCAACTTGTTGAATCATGTAGTTTAGTATGCTGATTACTGTACCTGGATTAGGTGAATTGTCAATAACATTCTTTGACCATTTCCTACCAGGAGTCATGATATCTGGAATTCTTGAACTTTTCAGACTTGTCTGTTTGGCCTAGTTTGCTTGGTGGGTTTGAAAACCGTTTCAATGTTATGTTTCCTCAAAAGTTTTCCAATTCTCTCTGTGATCCTAAGGATATATGGTAGATAGGCACGTGCAACCATCTGAGCCTCCTCTTTGTTTTGAACCGAGTAACTCTTCAGTTTCATGGCTTTGTTGATCTCGTGTAAACTGTATCCATTCGATCTCATAGAGATAGAGATAGAGATGACTTCTCTCTTTTGACTAGAATGTTGGGTTGATAGTTCGTGGGTTTTCGGTACACTTCGTGGGTTGGTCTAGCACTACATCGTTGTACAAGTACATCTAGAAATGCTATCTGCTGGACCTGTTCAGTCTCCATGGTGAACTTGATGATGGGAGGTTAAGTATTCAAGTGGTCTAGGAAAGGTTCAGAGCATCCTTTTCATATTTCCAGATGACCAAGGTGTCATTCACGTAACGTAGTCACAAGGTCTATTTCAACTCATAGGCGTCGATTGTTTTTCCTTCAAAACGTTCCATAAAAACGTTGGCTATCACTGGACTGAGTGGACTTCCCATCGCCACGCCATTCAATTGCTCATAGACGTTTTATCTCCATTGAAAGAAATTCCCCGTGAAAGACAAAAGACCCACTATCAGCAGCAGGGGTCTATCGCATACCGTGCACTTGTGGGAAGGTATATATCGGTGCCACCAAACGATCTATGGAAACAAGACTGAAAGAGCATAAAAGGAACTGCAGACTAGGCCAAATGGATAAGTCTGTTGCGGTGGAACACGCAGTCAGTGAAGGAAACCATATGATTCTGTTCTGAAATACATTTTTTCAAAATAGGGCTGTTTGACAAATACTTCACCAGCAGGTAATGCAACAAAGGAGCCAAAACAATTCAGTTGGTCCTATGCGAATATGAGATACTACTTCAAAGGTGCCAAGCGATTTATGGACGTTCCAAATTGTTTTCAGAAAAAAATAACAAATGTACAATATGGTACAGGTGACTTGAAAAATGGAAGAAAATCAATGAGACTGGTGTTTATAATCTATCAAAGAGAGTGATTTTCCTACTCTACTTCTTTTTCCTACCTGGAAATCGATATCAGGTCCAATTCTACTCCCATATTTCGCAACATTCAAATTGTGTTATTCCAGAGTCGTACGACATTGCTCAGACGGTTTTAATGATACAGTCTGACGGGATATTGTGACGACAAAGAGAAGGTAAAATTAACCTTTCCGTTACTACTGCAATGGTTACTATCCAGGCTCTCGGTGAAGTATCAGCGATTCAGGAATTTAATTTTGTCCATTGCTCTTTTGTCCTGGATTCGCGCACGAATCGAGTAGTTGTGTAGCAACATGGCTTTGTTTCATCTCCGAATACCATGTCAAAGGAAGGATAGTCACTTATTGAACTCTGGCTTTGGGAGGAAGGGGGGCTATTCATACTGAGAATCAGATGCTTTCGGAAGTGTTTGTTTCAACCTCCCAGTTTCGACAATTCCTATACAGTATATCCGACGATATGGCAGACAAGAGAAAACACGTTTTTCAAAGATAACCCATTCATTAAAAATGTTTGCTTTTTTCAAAACCAGTCCTTATTGAATAAATACGTTATTTACTTCCAGCCCTTATATCTTCAAACGCACTATATTCGGTTGAAAAAAATAGAGGACTACTTCTCCCTTGATCATTCCACAATGATCTAGGATGTTCCAGGATCTTCTTCCTGAACTATTCTGGGATATTCTAGAAGACGACATTTCTAGCCCTCCAAACTTCAAAACCACTCCGTTGAGGTGGAAAGGAAAACTTTTTCATGGATGGATTATGAAATGAGATGTTCTTAAATATTTCCAAACCTTCCAGATCATTACCGAACATTTCAATATATTTCAGGATGTTCTGGGCAGTTATGAAATGTTACGGAATGCTCTTAACTGTTCTATACCCTTCTAGAGGACGAAACTTCTAGCACCACACGGAAACCTTCTTCATAAATGTGAAAATGAGGGTTACCAATAGAGCTAGAGCACCCCCAATCGTTACGGAATCATTTCCAGATACCCGAGAGGATGCAATTTATTTCCAAAATGTTAATATGCTGCGCTTGAATCAACATTTTTAATATATCAATATGAACGCCATTCAGAATCCATAATTGTACAAATTCATACATTACGTACTTTGCAAACGTAATTCACTTCAATCACTGGCGGGTACCTACCTTGTGGAAGAGTACACGCATGCTATCGGTATGAAATTCGGGATAGACGAATGTGTAATGGTCCATCTCAAAAGAGGACGATGCGGGAACTACGGAGAGGATGAGCAGCTCGTAGATGGAAGCATCCTACACCATCTGGATGCCGGAGAGACGTATACTTACCTCGGGGTGGAACAACTTCACTCAGAAGAGGTAACTGCAGTGAAAAACTCTCTCCGCGGCAAGTATCAGCACAAACTTCGACATATCTGGTCATCGGAACTGTCGTGGAAAAACAAAGTTGCTGCAACAAATATGCTTGCCGTTCAAATCTTACTCCACTCGTTTGGAGTAGTGAAGTGGACTCGGGAGGAACTGTATCAATTCGACGTAAAGACCCGAAAAATGATGCATCTCTATAGAAGTGTGTATCCCAAATCGTTCGTTCTAGTTGTACTTCCCCCGACAACAGGGAGGCCGTGTACTTTTGAGTTTGGAGTGTCTACATGACAGAATGATACTGGATACAGCCTCTAAAGTCGTCAGGAGTTCGGACCCCCTTCTCTGCATGCTCCGTGATCATAAGAGAGCAGGAATTGGAGCATTTCTCTTTAGGGCAGCTGCTCGAGCAGCTGATGAACTCGGTATAGTTTTCGACTCTGAACGAGGTGACCACAACTCTAGCACCGAGTTGGAAACCGTTCAGCAAAAAGCTCAGATAAAAGCCGCAGAGATCACCTCACTTCTGCGGAGACACAAGGATAAGCCAATGCATGGGGCCTTCGTCAATAACATTGGAGATCTTGGCTTACCAAAGCGCCTGACGTTCGCTTCTCTCAGGTCGAGTGGGCTGAAGTCGGAAACTAAGGGGTTCATCATGGCTTGCCAGGATGGTGTCTTCAACACCTTAGTCTACCGAAGTCGCGTGATGGGTTTAGAGGTTCCAGACACAAGGTGCATGGCCTGCCGCGAGGCGCCCGAGACCCTAATTCACTTGCTATCAGCATGTTCAGCATATGCGGTCTCGGCCTATATGCCCTTTCTACTCTCGTATCTTAAAATCATACCGGCTTGCCGCATACAGACATACAGAATGTGATTTTTCCATTTCAAATTACTATCTATGATTACACTTTAGTATTTGATTTCTTTCACAGGTAATATTGAGAAACTTTGGTTTTGTGAAGGTGGAGTATCAGCCAAGGCTATTTTTTGACTCAAAACAACATTATGTTCTATATAATGACGTTTTATCACAATGGTTTTTTTTCTGTATCATGATGTTATCAGTTTTTATTATCCATTTAATTATCATTTCATCATCGTCTGTAAATATTCCATCTTTTTATTTTGCTTCTATGCATTTCTTATGATAATTTTTGGTTTTCTTTCCAGTTTTACTTAGTCTTTTCTGTTTTTTTCTCGACCAACTTCATCAATTTTTCCAAACGCCCCTTAGTTTTCAGATGATCTATTACTTGGATATTTTGTGCTCTCATTCCTTCTGTTGTATTGTTTTCTGTTCTATCTATCAAACCTTTTTTTCTCCCAGTGTTTCACTTTGTCATATCTTAGTATTAGTTCCAAAGTTGTGATAAAAAGTGAAAAAGTAATCAGAATAGTTCAAATACATCAATCAATAACTTCTATTTCTCCATATCAAGTGCAACAGACCTTTCCTTATTTATTCAGTTCGGAACGATATTCCATCTCTAATTGGTCGTCTGAAGCCCTATATAGAACTTGATTTAATTTACTTTCATTGTTCTCTGTTCTACGTATCGTGAATGCAGTTTTTCGCTAGAAATTTCTCTGTAATTTATGTTGTCATAAACATTTGCAGTTTTCCGGGTACTTTGGAAGCAGCAACTGTTTGGCAGGAGGCCATGCATGCAAGATGAATATTGAGGACATAAATATCCTTTTTGCGAAAGATCTAGAGTAAAACGCAGTTGGAAATTATACAGTGCGCATCATAAGTGATACCTTCATCTAACTCGTTACTGGACTCTTGTTAGGAAAATCGCCGAGACACTTCGATTTTTGATTTCTACAATGTACATTTGCGTATGAATAGTTTACCCTTAATTTCATCCCTTACTAGAGTGGAGCAACCCTTTCGAAAAATTTGAATAGCTCATTCTGAAGATTTTATTCTCTATTCAACCGTGTAAAGTATTACACCACAAACAAGAAGGCAACTAAACTAACACTAACTTTTTCTGTTATTACAGTAAATGTTGACCTTCTGGCAAAAATAGAGTCAATTTTTACTTTCAGTCCTGACGCTTTGCAAAGTATCCCGAAAAATTGTTGCACACACTTCCATGAAAATTTGGATTGTTTGGAGCAATGCCCACGGTTTCATTGTTTTGTCGACTCATTTAGGATACGCAAATTGATAACGCATGTGTAAGTAGTTCACAGTACTGTATATTTCTTTCCAGGTCCAAATGGAACAGCAATCCTCACTTCTGTGGCTCGTACGTTTACGTAGGCTTGGACCAAGAAGTACACAATGCAACTGCTGAAGATTTAGCGAAGCCACTGAAGTCGAAGACCGGTAAAGAAACTCTTCTATTTGCTGGCGAAGCAACTAGTGAGACTCGGTATTCAACTGTCCATGGTGCTATCGAAACGGGCTACAGAGAGGCCGGAAGATTGATTGAGATGTACAAGTAATTTCAAGTTTCATCATCATACATATCATCACACTGTCGATCATATGTGTTCAGTATGAAAAAATGTTGTTGTTGTGTTTCACATTTATATACAATGGTTTAATACATTTTACAGAATATTTTTTACCTACCATTCCAAAGTATCTCATTGTCTCATATTGAAATTTGATTGTTTTTTTTGTTCATTTTGAATTCGATAAGGTTGCATGCACAGCCTCACAGAAGAAATCATTTCATGAATTCCATTAGTTTGTACTTCCATTGTCTAATATGATATAAAACGATTTGAAATCTCTAAAGGAACCAATAAAATTGAAATGAATAGCTGAAAATAACCATTATAAGCAAAAAATTTAACAAAAAATAAATAAAAATCTAAAGATTTTAAGCCAAGTTACTTCACGTCGTCGCCAGGTAATGACTGGACTATTCCTCCGAGAGACAACTATTTATAGGTCATTCAAGTGCTTTAACCTATCCCCTCTTCCCTCTCTCCGCTTCACCGATTCAGCGGGAGATGACCGTTTAACGGGATTTGGCCGTTTTCCGCTTCATTATGGGTTTCCATATATTGCGTATCTACACGCTAACTTGGCTGAAAATATATGCAGCTTCTTTGAATTTTCTCCTCAACCAGTGGATGATTTCAGCTTGGGACCACTTGTTACATTGAACCGATAGACCGACGAATCTTCCAAATCGAAGACGTTGCACATGTGCCCGATGGCTTTACTTAAACTCTCTGCGCGGCATTAGCTGGGTTAGTTGTTGTTTTTCCGTCAGGTATCTGCCACACATACCTACAAAACCGTAGGTCTATATGAGAGGCAGGAGGCGAGGTGTTTTCACCCAAACCTGGAGCATATGTTTTACCTGAACAAAAGTGATGACGGTCAGAGACTTCCAACTGCCTGGAAACCCCCGATGCTCACCCCCACCAAGGCGTCCGGTAATCACCCAAAGCCCCGTCCCCACCTTTCCACTTCAGTAGCTTCCGTCGATATAAATACCAAATACCCATCGACACCGTAAACCCTGAAGAGGCATAAACCTATAGCATGGCCCCAGCAAATCAAATAATAACATGGTGAAATACTATACCCCAAAAATGAATAAACATGATATATACTGTTATATGGTCGAGCTTTCGAGAATGTTTATTCCCTTTATCAAGACATCTACAAATAAACATTCTCGAAAGCTTGACCATATAACAAAGAGTATTCTTTAAACAACAGCCCAGCAATTTTGACTGCATCCCCAACATTATTTCGTATTTCTCCTTAACTAGTCAGTCAAGACTATCCAGTACTTTGAAATGTGTAATTGACTTAGTAGAATCCTACTTCAGCAAGTGCTGAAAATGTGACCCATTTGCTTCCATACAATAATACAGATTTTGTTCAAATCTATTCCTAACATTCTGTAGCATATCAGGTTTTATACTTCTGCACTCTGCTGTAATTCGTTGGCGAAGATCTTCTATGGGCTCGGGCTGCGTAGCAAAACATTTACTTTTAAAGTGTCCCCGAAGGAAAAAGCCAAAAGGCGATAAATCAGGTGACCTGGCAGGTCATTCGATGGGGCCTCTCCTTCCAATCCATCGTCCAGGAAACCGGTCATCTAAAAACTCTCTTACCGGAGCACTATGGTGCTCCATCTTGCTGGAAATGAAGCCGATCATCATTATGATTTTGGTCATTTTCAATTATTTCTGTTACGAGAGGATCAATTGTATCTTCAAGCGTGTTCAGGTAGACCTCACCAGTTAAATTCCCAGGAATAAAAAGTAGCCCTACGATATGACTACCTAATATGCCACACCAGACATTGATTTTTTGAGGGTACTGGGTATGGACCTCTCGGAATAAGTGTGGGTTACTGTCATCCCAGTAACGGCAATTATGCCTATTCACAGCTCCATTGAAAAAAATGTACTCTCATCGGAAAAGCATGTGTTGAATGATAGGTGCGGATCATCAATTAGTAGCTGGCTCAGCTTTCTATCAGGATCATCTTCATTGAGTTCCTGTACTAATACAATTTTGTACGGATGAAATTTATAGGCTTTTAATATCCGTATTATGGACGAACGGGAGACACCTGAGGCTGCAGCAAGCTGACGAGTACTTTGAGTATGATCCAATTCAACATGTTCCAAAACAGCGGCTTCCACTGCTTCATTTCTGATCGCTTTCCATGGCTGGTGTTTCACATTACATTCAGATCCGGTATCGACAAACTTTTGGACAAACTTGGCAACGTACGAATCGTTCACATTTTTCCTGGGATGACTGTTATTAAAGAGTCGAGCAGTAAGTCTAGCACACCTATTATGTTGATAATAAAGTTTAACAATTTCAACTCGTTCAGGAATGGAATAAACCATTTTTACAGTAAAGTTGAAATAATTTCAAAAGCAGCCGAACTGAATCAATGAACGTTTGCCTGAATTCTTTTTGTACACTTATCTGCAGTTGTTATTTGAACCAAAAAACGCACGAGAGAAATTGAGGAATGTAGAAGTGATAAAAATGCCGTTTTTTCCGCATTTTCATTAACACCAAAAATATCGAGTAAATGTTTTGATTTTTTTATAACTATTCAAGTAAATACAACAAACTAGGTACCTATCATTGGAAAGAGAAAATTGTGCACTTTCAAATAATATATCACTCGACCCCACTTTCCATTTAAAATTTTAGGGTTGTTACTCACCCTCGCTAGGGGGTTGAAGGCACAGATAGAAAAATACATCTAAAATGTGTCCCCCTCAAAAGCAAAATTGACCTGTCCGAGCATTTTTGCGTTAAGTTACAAAAAAAGGAGAAAAGCAAGGTGCATACTTTTCGTTGGACCACTCGATATATGCTTGCATTTGGCAAACAAGTGTGTTCCATCTTTACACTTTCATCCATCTTACTTTGCACCAAAAATTTTGAAAATTATTTTACTTTTCAAAAAAATTGACCGTGGTTAACACCATAGTTGTGTAATTTATTGCAGGCGTTCAAAATAAACCGTTGTATACAGCACTCGCCATCCCCAGGTTCGAGCGATTCCAAACACTCACTCCACCTCTCGTTTCTATAGTCAGTGATGGCCTGTTTAACCTGGTTGCCCATCCTGCTAGCCGCAGCCTTGTCTCCAGGGTAGAGAGTCCGCTGATAAACTCGTCTGTGTCGATTTCTCTCCCGGATAAGGTTCTTTATCCTGGGAGGAAACTCATTGTAGTTCCGCAGAGGACACTCTGTCCCGGTTGTGGCTGCGCGGAAAGTGTTGTTCACAGACAATTCAAAGTCTGCCACAGCCGCATCGTGACCGTTGCGAGTTTGAAGCGCCTCACGGTCTGTACGTGTCTCCACTAGGTGAGCCTTGAAGGCTTCCCAATCCTTGGATGATCTCATGCGATACTCCTGGGGAGGGGGATCATCACCCAGCATCAGGATGACTGGATTATGATCTGAGTCAAAGTGTACACTTCGCAGGACATGGAGACGTTCCTGAGCAGTGCGATATCAAGCACGTCAGGCCTTAAATCCCCACGGTAGAACGTGGGCTCGTCTGGACCCATCACTCGATACTCATGCCTGTCAGCATGCGCATGGGGCGCTCGGCCGTTCGCATTGGTGAGTCTGCTCCATAGATTGTGCTTGGCATTGTGCTTGGCAGCAATTGTGGTGGTATTTGTCGACAACAGCAGTTCATCCAGTGATTTTGAGAGTAGACGATTCCGCGGAGGGTTGTAAACTGAGATTAGTCTATGACGACCTATGACGACCATGTAACTGATCCGAGTCAATGCCGAATTGTACGTGAGGAAGATTACGTTTGACAAATGCCAACTCCTCCTCCAGCACGTCCAACGCGTTCTCTGTAGTAAAAACGGTAGTTTAGAATACCAAAAGGTTCATTGTGCAGGTGGGTTTCCTGCACCAGTGCAACATCGATGTTTTGTTGTATTAGAAAATTCTCAAAATCTAATTTCTTGTTTGAAATACTGTTGGAATTCCGAAATACAACCTTGAGAGAACTAGGCAATGTTGGTTGTCTAGCCATTAACAGGTTCCAGTTAGCACGTTGGTGTTCACCGTAAACATTTTTTCGAGTACGGGGAACTGAATGAAGAGTTTCTTCATCTGGTCCAGAGCGGAACAGATGTCACTAACCTTCGACGGGCGGAGACTACTGGGCGCCTCGGTCGGCCTGGCGGAGGTGTTACCGCTCTTGGCCGCTCCTGCGTAGCTCATTCCCGGGCGTGTGCCAGGATGCTTTCCAGGCGTGGGTGCATTATGCACACCCTTGCAATTATTGCACTTAGGCGGATCTGCTCGTGGCTTCTTGCACTCACCTGAAAGGTGTCTGCCGGCGCATTTAACGCAAATGGGAATAGCTAGGCAGTTCCGTTGGCTATGCCCGAACCGCTGACATCGGTGACACTGCCCTACCAGTGTTTTTTTGTGTTGGGGCTCAACTTTAACGTTAAGGAGATCCCGGATGTCATAAATATGCTTCTGATTTTGGTTTACTTGAACCAAAACCAGGAGGAGCGGTCGATTTCCTCGCATCATCCTGGTGACGGATGATGGCTGGAAACCTTTTTCAACCAAGGCGTCCTCGATGTCAGCGGTCTCCAGATGTTTCGGGACTCCTCTGAAGACGGCTCTGATTTGCCTGTCTTCAGGTAAGGTATACGTGTGGTGGGGAATTTTTTCCCTCACCAATAGGTTGGACATACTCCTGTAGTCCTCGGCCGAAGAAGGCTGAACCTTGATGCAATCAGCCATGTTTACTGCCTTGGTAAAGTTCACTTTATGGAAGGCAGCCAGCTTTGTGAATTGAACCCACTTGTCCTTCTGGCGAACGACAATTGGGGGAACGCGTGTTTTTCTGGTGCTTTGGGGCACCTAAGGACGCGGAGGGAGAGGGAAGCTAGTTCCCTGATCGTTGGGGTTTTCAACCTGATTTAGATTTCGGGATGGCTGTTTTAGGCCACC